CCGGGTAGTTGAGTGTCTTCAACTTTTGATGCTTCCTGCTCCAGCTGTTTATTCAGATCCTACTTAACTGTCAGAAGTAATTTGCCTTTTTTAAAGGGGAGGAGCTGCTGTAAAACCTCTTTCATAATTTATTGTGTGGAACGCTGTCAGAGAGAAGCAGTAACTGTACACAAAGGACCTCGTGATAGCAACGCCAGTAACAAAGAGTAGTTTAAACAGGGCAGAGTGGGGGCAGATGCTTATGCATGAACTGTTTGGATGCTTGCAAATGAATCATTTGATTCACAAACAGGAAGATTAAATTTGTCAACTTTGTTATGAAATACCTGAGATGTAAACTGCACTTAGGGATGCATTATGGCCCATAACCACACATGGGTGCTATGAACTGTCTTGTCTTGATGTCCAGTTGTCTCTGTTTAGTCTCTGCTTAGCCGAGACAAGTTGTTGGTTTTTTTTCAAACTTCCCTCAGTTTGCAGTAACCATGTTTATGTTAGGCCAGTCAGACAAGTTCACAGCATTTACTGTTAATGACTGGAAGGGGTCTAATTGACCGTGGAAGGCTCAAAGGCTGTTTGAGCGTCACAGTAACTTTCCTTCACTGTCAGAGGCCTGAGATGCTTGGGTTTTTTTTTTTGATTATATATTTTTTGATGTGGATATTTGCCAATCAACTTTTTCAGAGCTTTGGAGACATTTTAGCTCTCTCCATCCTTGTCTCATCCTTGCATAATTGTTCTAGGAGCTGTTACAGGTACACAAAACCTCTGCCACCCCATCCTTCCTACCTTCTTTGGTGACACTGCTGAAGACACCTGTAGCTTTCAAGAGATAAAGTGCAGAGTGATGTGACTGGCTTGGAAACACCTTTCACCTGTGGTCCTGGAGCACAAGTTTCCCTTTGTCTCCAAAGAGAACAACACCAGTTCTTGGGAGTTGGGGCCCTTGGTGCCCACAGCTATTTCCCTCTTTACCATTAGATGCTCATGAGTATTTAATCCCATGTGCAAAGTGATTGCTGTCCCTCCTTCTTGCTCAGCCTGTGGAGATGAAAATGCCACTGGGATGTTCTGGTTACCTTTCTACACATCAGTACTCAAAAGGAGAATAATCTCTGCTGACAGTGTTTAGACAAGCAATTTTGAGGAAATTGTCTTCTTTATTAAACTCAGGCAGGAGCCTTTTGTTGCTCTTTGTTTTCTGTGATAGCACATAAATAAAAACTGGTTTGGTGTGAGGGCAGAGAAATCCTGTAGCACTGGTAGCAGTGCCCCCAAGCCCTTCAGGGATGTGAGGCCATTGTTTGATTCTGCACCCCCTGGCACAAGCTTGGACAGCCCTGCAGGTGCCTTCAGAAACAAGAAGTTTGAAATGGGGGATCTTGGAGCTTCTTTTGCTTCTGTGCTTGAAAGGAATTTGGTCACACATATGCATATTGCCTAATGTTTGGTATTTATGATTGCAACATTGCTGGGGTCTGAGGATGCCCTGATGGGTGTCTTCTTAGCCTCTTTGCTGGGATCTCTGTTGTGCAAAGCCAGGCTGCCCATTTATCCTGGACCTTCTGCTACCAAAACAAGGCTGCAGCAGTGATTGTCCCTCCAGCAATGATACAGAGGGAGAGGGGATGTATTTTGAACTTCTAATATCAAAATTATCAGGCACCTGATAGAGATTCCCGTGGTAGGAGCCTCGGTTATGACACTTGCTGCAGGTGGTTTTGGAGCAGTAGGATTAGGCTGGAAGGGGTATAGAAAAGCCTCTGAATTAAATTAGTCAACACACTGTTGCACAGATGACTTCACCCTTCCCCACACCTTCCTTGCTTCCTAGAGTCTGATGCCTTTCCTACTACTTGGCAAAGGTAGATATGCCAAAGTTTTAAAGCATTTTGGCACCTCAGAAGTGTCTTAAACATTTAGGTTTCTTTTCAAAGTATAATTATTTTAGAGCTTAAAGCACACCTGTTGCAGAAGTTGCAACAGGTACCTGGGTGTACAGGGTGGTGGGTGGCCACGGTGTGGAAGTGGCTTGTCCTGGAGAGGAGACCTTGGGACCTCTCAGCAGGGTGAATTGGCCAAGCAGAGTGAAAAAAGGTTGTTTTTCTCCAAGTTGGCAACTTTACACTGGTGCTTGCAGATATAAATGAACTTTGTCTTTGGAAGGCATCTGTGAGGCAAGTGCTTTGAAATGTGTATAAAGGGATGCTTGTATGGTTATCTATTTCGGAGAGTTACGCAGATACATTAGCTTTGAGCTGCCCTGTCACATAACAGAGGGGAGCACAAAGCACCTATTTACAAAGTATAAAATTTGTGCTGAAAACAAGGGTGGTACAAAGCCACTTCCCCATCTTTCTCCTTGGAAAATAAGATGTTTTTTACAGTGCTGTCAGATAGCAGGGCTTTGTTTGCCAGCTCTTGTGAACAAACAGCGTGTTATCCTGCCTGAGCGCAAGGTTGCTGCTTGCTTGGAGTGTTTCAGGTGTTCCTGATGCACAGAAGGAAAACCCAGAGCTTGGAAATGCCTGATCTGAAAAATATTGTGGCTCCAAGATACAGTATCTTTCCAAAAGTGAGATCTTGGTGTGGTAGAGCTTTTGTTCAGCAAACTTGGTGGCAGTCGTGCAATCTGCTGGTCAGCACTTCCTAACGCCGGCTCTTTCGGAAACGTAGAGCAACAACTTTGAACTATTATGAAAACAGGATTGTTTTTAAGGCTATAAAAAGCATCCATCTTGTTCTTTTTTGGCTCAGTTTTTTTGCTCATTTGTAGTCAATGCTCTGAGTCCCTGAAAATCCAAAAGTACCCCATGTAAAACATCTCTATTCCACAAACAGTGGCTGTGGCTTTGTTCCATGGGACACTTCTTACTGGAAAACTTCAGGGGACCTGGCTTCTTACTCTCAGCTATAGGCAAACCATAGAAAAATCTCTTGCACTTCTAATCCCTATTGAAGAATTAGGTGCAATATCAAGGTACTTGTCTTAACAGAACTTGCTGAATTGGGGAAGAAAAAGCTCATAGGTGCAGTTGCATATGAATATTTTAACCTTCAAATATTGTAACAGCATTTATTTTTCCTCTGCCATGCCCACTGGCTCACTGTGTAGAATGGAAGACTACATATGTGGGTGTAATCATAGAAACTTGCAGGGTTTGCTAAAATGTTGCTTGCAGTTTCCCAAAATTTTGCAATTTTTTTTTCCCTGCTTATTCTTTTTGATTAAAATCTGTAATGGACAAAACACAATGGAAAACCTGGATAAAAGAGTGAATCAGAGTCACTTGATTCTCCTGACTATTTCTGTACTTCTGATGTCATCTTGTAAATTTGAAGTACAAAGCACAGGCAGTGGGGGTTAGTTTTGGTCTTGTCTTCATGCCTCAACTGGTGGTGTAAAATATTAATGAAAAATTTCTCTAACTTAAAATCCACAGTCTAATTTTTACCAAAAATGTCCCCAATTGCGTAGCTAGCAAGAAGAGTTCCTAAACCCAAAGCTATTTGAATGAGTGGACACCCATTTCTTTCCAGCATTAACTCCTTTAGTCTGAGTGTGTCCCTTCATAGCTTTCTGCAGCATCCAGCTCTCCTGCAAACTGTCACCAGAGCATCTTTGCCCAGGGACAAGTGCATTGAGTTAACCCATGGGGCAGAGTGAAAAATAACACTACTGCTACTGCCTGGATGCTCCTGTGGGCTTGAAGGCCCTTCCTGAGCCATCAGGTCATTTATGCAGACTGCATGATGGGCTTAAATCAGATTTAAGTCAGGAGACAGGGAATCATGTAAATTAAAGAATCAGTGTAAATTGTGTTATGTTGTTCTGTGCTTACCTTCAGAAAATAATTAAAATGTGTTCAGTTACACTTAACCAATAATTCCTAAATATGTTTCAGGCTTTGGGCTTGCTTTGAGTGCACTTACTCATGCTTTACTTGAGATTGTTCTAAAATTTTCTTAAAAAGTAAATATTTGTTCTATAATTGTGTTGATGGAAAAAATTGGAAATTTATTAAAGATGCCCAAACCCCATATGATATGCATTTCTCCAGCAGGCTAAAGGATATGTAATAAAAAGGCTTTGACTTCTGTATTTGCTGCAGCAGTTCTAGGATCTCTTTTGAGAACTGTTTCTAGCCATTCATTAGAGCTTCACAGGGATCAGCCCTCTGACCCTGGTACCTGATCTCTGCCAAGGGAGTGAGAGATGCTGTTCTTCACTCCCAGTCTGGAACAGTGCAGAGGGTGCTCTGCACCTGAGCCACGGCCTGTGCTTGCCTTGGCAGTCACCTCTCCTGGGGTTTGCTGTGTCTGTGTTCCCAGTTAAGTTTCCTGCAGCTGAGGGCTGAGCATCCCAATGCCAGTCCTGTCTGAGAGCAGGATACAGCAGTCTTGTTCCTTCCTTTGACAGTTTTGACAATAGCATTATTGCATGACCCTTGTTGGTGTCTGCTTAAAGGAGTATCTGATTTTTATCTGTCCTGAAGAATGGAGCACATTAATCTGACAATAAAATTATGCTAATGTGTGTCCAGTTCAATTTTCTCACAGTAAAAATATGGGGATAGTGAAGCAGCCTTGCAAACAAACACTGGATTAAAAAAGTTTTCAGAAACAACTGTTCAAGCAGATTTCAGCAGGTAGTCATGTAGATTTGGCTATGCCTTCTTTCACCTGTGGGATGAGAGTTTCCATGGTTCTCTCTGCTCTCCCTGCCTTGTTTCCTTCAGCATTCCCTGCTTTGAAGGTGCCAAACTTCTGTTTGATCTTGCAGCCTTAATATTTCTTTAATCTCATATTGTGCAGGAGTGTGTATATAAATAAACCAGGGAGGCATTTTACAAGAGATTTATAACTTTCTTGCAGAGGTCTTTTAAACTATAACCTGAAAGAGTGGGTCATTGTGGGGGCTGGGTGGAGCAGGATCTTTACTTGTTCCTGTATTTGATCTTTGATGCAAGCTGAGAACAAATCTCTTTTCCTCTTTGCAGATATCAGCTACTGACCATGTCAACAGAGTTCCAGGATGCTCACCTTGCAGAGGTGAAACCTCTGGTGGAGAAGGAGGAGGTAATTATTTTAAAGCTTTTTAGAGCTTAGGTGTTTTTCTCAGGGCTGCTTTTGGAACTGCCTATATGTTCCTAGATTATTTTGAACATTTTGTATGGAAGAGGAAAAGAAAAACTGGAGATGGAATAAGAATAGTTCATTAGGTAGTTTTTTTTTAAATAATACAAAACTGACCCTAATTATTTGTTCTTGTTTGCTTTTGTTCTTTTAATATGATGGTGACATTTTTTCCTTCTCTGGATAATGACAGCTCTGGGTGTCTGTAGCTGTGTCAAATGATGCCAATTGGGCAATCTCATGTACGTGCCTCTATAGCTACACCCTTCTCAACACAGAGACAGGCTTTGCCTCTCACAGGGAGCCATTTACATTTCCTTTGGGCACAGCTGAGTCCAGAGGTAGGGCTGAGCCCCTTCTTGTCCTCTGAGTGCACAGAGCCATGAGTTACCCAGCTGGGTACAACCCACAGCCTCGTGCAGCCACTGGAGTTGCAGGACAAAAACATCCTTTTTTTTTTTTCTTTTACCTTGTTATACTACTTTCCACTCTTTACTGGACTTTCTTGTTTTAGAAAAAACCTATCAACAACATCAGGATTCAGTGGCTATCTGACTCTTCAGTGGTAGACATATTCTGTGCTTTGATATGTTCATGACAAAATATTCACTGTAATGTGTGAAGAAACAAACATCTCAAAATTTTCTTGAAATAAAACTAAGTTTTTTTCTCTTGTTCCCAATGACACTTTTTCTTGAAAATTATGTATATGAATGTGTTGGGATTTTTTTCTGGTCTTATACACTAGAATTGCTCTATCTGCTACTTTTGTTTTTATTCCTTCCCTCTTTTATGTAAACACTTCAGAAAATAATTTCCACTTGTGACTGCAGTGAAATGGTTAGAGAAACTTTAAACACAGCTCCTTTGCCAAGGACATTGCATGAAAGCAGAGCTTGTTTGAATACCACTGAATGCAACACTCAGACATTTCAGAAACTAAGACCTCTTTTTAATGCCCATATTGTTCAGAACTACCAAAGCAAAGGAGATTCTAAGCAGAAATCCTGTTGATACTGAAGCATCTTCACTTCAAAGTTCAGAAATATCTTAAAATACTGATTTACTTCCTGGGTTTTGGTAGCACATAGGTCAAAACTTGGAATCTTGGCAATGAGATATGCTTTTGTTCATGATGTTACCTTTAATTTTGTCTGCATGGGGGAAAGGACAGAGTTTGATTTCCTTTGTGGCCATTTTAACATAGATGAAGGATGTTCATGCATTTTGAGAAATGGGAAAAGGTTGCCCTGAAGGATGCTCAGCACATACTGAGGTGAACAGTGGAGCTGGTTTGGAGTGGGTTATTGGGTGAGGCTCTCTGCTTGCTGTGCTTGGGTTTCTGCTACAGCCAAGTCTTTGTTCCTGAGCAGTGATCACCCTTATTTCATATGCTGTTGGTACAGGTGCCAAATACACTTCTTTCAGCTCTGGGTCCCACTGGAACAACAGTGGCTGAAATGCTGTGTTTAAAAGGTCATGAGACCAGCAATACAGTAAAACACAGCATATTGTCTAAGGCTAAGGCTGTGCAAAATAATTTCTGCTCAGTCAGATCTTGGGTAGCCATTTGCATGTTCAAGGCTTTAATTGCCTAAAATCACAGCTGTGAGAATTACAGGTTGTACTGCAGTGCTTTGAGGGCCCCTGAGAAAACAGCTATGGTGCTTCTGACATCTGTCCTTAATTTACCTGGGCTTCTGAGGCTGAGTGAGCTCCTTGCCAGGATTCTATGCTTTCCTTTTTATCTCAATATTATTTTTCAAGCTGTGGCCTCTTTTGCACTTTGTAGCATAAAGTGCTTGCTTGGCTGCTCTTCTCTCTGTTTTCAGCCCTGCAGTGGAAATAAGAGTTTGACTTCTTTCTGCTCCCTTAAAAAAAAGAATGTAACTGTAAGACATTTCCTCCTTTGAAGCTATGAGCCTTGTGGGCTATTGGAGGGTGGGGAGTTTGTCACCTAACTCCTTTCCTGGTGGAGACCCTCGACAGGTGCAGGAGATTGTCCATAGCAGCTGTGGCAGGTGACAGGTTGGAGTGGACCTCTCTGTATCCAGCCAGCCTCCCAAACACTGCAAAGACTAATCTTGGCTGGAATAAGACCCTTCCCACCTTCTACATCCTGTAACCAAGTCCCAGTATTGACTGCTTAAGTGAGTTGCAAGTAGTCAGTGCATTCTGGAACAGAGACTTCCCCCTAAGCAGGCCTGAGGGCTGTCAGCTGTCCCATGGCTACAAAAAGTGATGCAGAAAAGTTCAGTTTTACTGCTCTATGTGACTGTATTGCTCAGAGATTTAACAATGACTGAAGATGCTCTGGCTTTTGTCCTTCATTTTGCTGGTCTTTAATCTAGTATTTTACTGCTTTCATTTCTCTGTGAAGATTAGTGGGTTTAAAAGCTCTTGGGTGAATTTTGATGCTCATCAGAAGAGCTTTCATTGAATGGGCAGAGAGAGCTCTCAGCTGCAGAACTGGGGGCCTAGAACACATATCCAAGCATAGATTTCCATAGCTGTAAGTTACTTCCATTAATGCTTTCAAATCTCTTCACAGGCTATCACTCGCCTCCTTCCAGACTTCGATGTTCAGGCAAGTAAAGCTATTTTTTTTTTCCTTCCCTTTTCTTTTTGTATGAGGGGAGATTGAATTGATATTTGAGAAAACAGCAAGATGTGACCAGAAGGGACTGCCTGCTTGCCAGGAATGCTGTTACTGTGGGAGAGGGGTCTGAATGGGGCTGTGCTGTAGCCATGTGAAGGGGACCACAGGGGGCCTTTTCAGACTGGAGCTGAGAAAGTTTCAGTCAAAGGGGGTGGCTGGTTTGCAAGCAGTTTTATTCTTGCTGAGAGAATGAGAATCTTCAGCAGTGGTAGTGAAAACAATATATTCCCCTCCCACATGGACACACACTTTCCCCAGTTAATTTGCTTTCATTAGCAGTGTGCTTGCATTTCCTCAGAGGAAACATTCCTCTGGATGCATCCCATTATGCTGTTGAGATTTTCCAGAATATTCCTGAGGCCTGTGGGGTGGTGGAAGGTGCTAAGCAAACAGTATTGTCAATAACAGGAGTGATGGTGTTTTTGTATTTTTGTTTAGAGACAGAACATACAAATTCACAGCTCACCAGTAGGTCACATGGTGGCCCTTCACTTTGAGTGTCACTTTTGAGAGATCACTTGGTCCCTCTCCTGGCTCTCCTTATTTTATTACCATTTGGGCTTTTTACTGAGAATCTTGTCCTTGCTGGTTCATAGCTGAGACTAAGGAATTGCATGGCTGCAGAAGCCAGGCTGGATTGAACTGGGATGGAGATCAGGGAGGGTGTGGCTGCCTTGATGAGCAGTGTGAGTGGTGTTTTCCCACTGCTGAGGACAAGGATTATGTACTGGGAAAAGAGGCTCCCTGGGTGTCTCATTTTGATCAAGGTGTATAGAAATGGAAGCAGACTGGGCAGAACTAGGGAATGCTATTAAATTGTTCTAGTTTCTGTTCAGGTCCTTGAAGGAAATAACCCTTCTCTACTTTATTGCATGTTGCACTTTATTAGCACCCATCTATATATAAAGTGGAAATTCAGTGTTGTGCCAATTGCTTTAAAAATACAACACAAATTCAAGATTTTTCCTTGGAAACCAAGTGAGACAACTGTCTTGGGTGTTTTTTCATCTTTCAATGATTCTTACTTCTACAGCAAAGATGTAGTTTACACTAGTCCTGCATCTTCTCCCTCATTTTTTTTTTCCTAATGAAATCTACTGCCTGAAGTCTTGATAAATGTAAGTTAAGATTGTCACCATGCAGCTTCTTACAGCGCTGTGTGCAGCATGGGAGAAGCTTTCTGTTTGGCTCCAGGTTGATCACTGGTTGGTCTAAATAAATTGAATCCCAGATTAAGTCTGCTAACAGGAGTACTACAGTATTTTGATTAAGAATCCAGAAGTGACCCATATTTCATTTCTATTCTTGGAATAAATTGCTTGGTTTGTAAACCATGTGTATATATAGATTTTTTTAACTTGCAAGATCAAATTCTCTAAGCCTTTTTGGTTTTTTTCTCTCCATGTTTTGGATTAACTGTTGCTAATCCAGAGCAGTGGTTCTTGTCGTTTAGCCCTGTTCTGCCAGCTCTTACTTTTTTTAATGCTATATCTTTGTTAGGAGTTTAATCTTTAGTTGTTCTAGTTCAGGAAAAATGTGGAAGAACAGTCTCAAGGCATTTTGTTAAGAATTGTGACTGCAGAGGAGGAGACCTAGCTTTGGTCCTTAAAGCCACAAGTACCCTCCCTGTGTGTTTAAGTTCTTTTGTGGTTGATTTGTGGAAAAGGAGGTTTGAAACTGCTATGAGTGATTTGATTGCTTAGTTGGTTAGAGAAGTTCATGTGTGGCCCTAGAGGACCCAGGTTATTCAGGACTGAGGCTGAAGCATGCTTTTGGTGAGCAGCCTTTCCCATGAACTACTTGGGAAGAGGATGGAGCTGGCCAGGGAAGGAAGTTATTGGTGCTTGGCAGGATGGAGCTTCTTATTTAATGCCTGTATATGGATGTGGGTGATCACCACATCCACTGCAAGTTCCTCCAACCTTCTGGAAACAAGTTAAGCAGTGTTCAGTTAATAAATTTGTTCCTTCCATAGTGAAAAGAACTGTCTGTGAAGTGTGTTTCTTCTAAGAGTAAGTACCTAGTTACTCAGATTTGGAAAAAAATAGATTCTTACTTCACATGCAGTTCTAGACAGACTGGAGTTAAACATAGATTTCCATTTTTAAAGTAAACCACTGTATAGTGGTATATTGCCCTTCTGAAAGCACATGTTGCAAGACATGTGTGGTTATTCTCTGGAGGAGAATCTTTGTGAAGTTACCAGGGGATGGCCAAGACAAGAGATGAAAGAACTGACAGGTCTGAGCTTCCTCTAGTCAGCAATTTCTGTTACTATGTCTGTCTGTGGCACCCACCTGAAAATTGAAGGTCTCCTGTGTCTCAAGAAGGAGAGTGTTCCTGGCCAAGCCTGTTTTAGGATAATTGATGATAAATGGGTGCAGGGCAGTGTGCCCTGGGTGGCTTTGTTGTCTTCGTGCCGAGCACATTTTAATTGCATTCCCAGTTTGTATGTGCATGTTCTGTAGCTTTGGAGCTGATGGAGCCCTGGCTCCCCATCACTGTGCACATTCATCCTCCCAGCTCTGTTTCAGTCCATCAGCACTCTGCTTTCTCAGGAACTCAGCACGACTTGGAGCTGTGTGGCAGCTGTAGGGGGCAGAGAGGAGTTTGTCCCTTGCAATTGATGGCTCGTGGCCATCTGTATCCACAGGCACGAAAGATCCTTTCCTGCTGAACTTCCTCCTGCCTGTTGAGGGAGAAGGGAAGCGCTGCCCTGCCAGGGGAGATCAATCAGCTGGTGCACGAGGCAGGAGGGGTGGGATTCCCACTGGCACCCGTGGATGTGGTTTGGTTGGGACATTGCTGTGTCCTGTGTGGATTTCCTCATCCCTGGGGCTGCTGAAGGAAAGGGTTGGGGGTGGCTGTGGTTTTGTAGTCGGCAGAGCAGGGTGACCCAGCGCTAATCGGACTAGGAAGAATCCCTGGGCAGAGCTATCGCAATAACCTGCGTCAGTTCCTGCAGCAAAGTTTTTGTTCTTGGCTTCCACCTTAGCAGGGTCACGTACATTTACATCTGAAGTCATCATCCTTATTAATGTACCTGAGTCTCAACCTGAACTGGAGAACCTTTCTCTTAATGTTGCTAATTTAGAATAGAAATGTTAACAAAAAAAAAACAAAACACAAAAACCAGAAAAATAACTGGAAATATGGGAATTGGGGTCTTTGAAAAAACAAGTGTAAGATGAATTGAAGTTCTATTCTAGAGTAAACAAAGCTAGGGAAAAAAATGCTAAAGAACTTCAGGACAAAGGGGATTTGAAACTCAACATTGAAATAGCACATTAAATGCTCAAATATTAATTAATATTTGATAATAATTTAATATTTTAATATTACTATTAATAGTAACCTCCAAGAAATTGAAAAAGAAAAAAGAAAAAAATAGCTTATGCAGGTATTACTATAATAAAGTTCTTAAGTAATATGAATTTAAAGGCTATTTAAATCTTCTTTAAAAGCTCTGAAGCTTTTCCCTCACTTCTAAGGCAAGAGAAGGGAGGTGTATTTAACGGTCATAATATTATGAATTAAAATAAAAGCATGAGATTGTAATTGAGGATTAAGTATATTTGAAAGCTTTAATATGATCTCGATGGAATGCAGTATTTTACTTAAAATATAAAGCATGACGTATTTAGCAAAATGTGCAGTGTGCATGTGCAGTTTTCCTTTTTAGACATCTGAGATATTTTGGTTGTGTATTCCCTACTTCAGAAAACAACTTGTCCATGAACATGTTTCTCAATCCATATCTTACTCAGGGTAGAGAGGGGAAGGAATAAATGAGCCCTCCTGTGTGATAACAGATTGTCTTCCCCTTCTAATCTCATGAGAAAAACAAAAAGGTCACTTGAAGCAAAAATAAAATCTATTTTAGAGTCTTCCAGCTCCTCCAAACTGAGACAGCCTCCCTTAAATTGCACATTTTGAAAGTATTTTTGTGTGTGTTCAGTGCACTAAGATAAGACAGCACCTCTGTTAAAGTGAGAGATGTGAACAGATGGTGTGTTTGTCTTTATCCTTCTATCGGATTAGTGTACCTTGGATTTTTTTTCCAAGATAGTGTTTTAATACAAATCAGTTGGTGAAGAGCCTCTTACTATAATGTTGATGTTGATTGGGATGTGCTGCCATCTGTTTTCAGTGCTCTGTATTTTGAAAACATCCATCCCTACATCACGTAGACAAATCTCTTGATCTTTAATAGGATCAATTGGGATGTGAAGTTGTTGATGTCACCAAACAAACTGGTTTGAATTGATTGTTTTTTTACAACCTTGTGTGCATTTCCCATTAAGAATTTGTGCTACAGGAAAATAGCACACCCTTATTGAATTAGGGGAGTCTCACTGTGACGATAATGAGGAATTGAGAAAATTGCTAAACTGACTGTGTTATGCCAGTTATTGGGAGCATGGTCACCTGTTGTCTCTGAGCTATTTTTACTTGACACTGAGTTTGAACTAGACTCAGGTTTCCAGGTCTGGAAGAGTTATCTGTGGAGGTCAGTGGGATGTGCAGGTTCAAGGGTTTGGCTTTATCTACCATGAACAGACTTTTTCTTTCATGCATGGAGGACAATCATGAATCTTGAAGGTGCTCCCTGCAATAAAAACAGGTTCTGGATTTTTACTGTTATTACTGGAAAGCTCTAGCAGTAAAAATCTGATTATATGAAATGCCTATTAGTCTCTGAGGAGAAAATAATTTCAATATTCACACTCAGCAGGAGGTGTTACACAATACTGCTTACACTCATTACAGTGCTGAGGTTGCCAAATTATTTTTTTTAATTGGCTAAATGTAAGAGTAGAATGTTAATAATTGCCATCATTATTAATTTAATCTATTATTAATTGCTATGTGCTGGCACTGCAAATCTCTTTAGGAGTGTTGTATAATGACAGTACCCCAATATATACTAATGATATAGAATGTTATTGGAGCAATCTGATTTAGTGGGTGGCATCCCTGTCCACAGCGGGGGTTGGAATTGGATGATCTTTAACATCCCCTCCCAAGCTTTTCTATAGTTATATTTTAATAGTATATGTTAATGACATACCCAATGTATAAGGTACAATACCATTTTTTTCCTCCAAAAGCTGAACTTAGTGAGATTGGTGTGGTGATGTAGGAATCCTTTAAACTAAATGCTGCTTATCTACTTTGGAAATACCAGATATCAAACATTTAAAAGGCCTTGGGTTTTTTGTTCAGAATCAATGTGACTTACACTAGTTTTTCAGTCTTTTGTGTTTACTGGGAACTTTAATCTTGGCTTTTAGGAAAAAACTCAATTCTGATTTAATTTAGCATAAGCTTGGGATGTTTCAGCATTTCCCCATACAAAACATGAAAATGAAGCTAAACTTCTCAAAATCTGGTGGAAACAGCAACAGGAGAGAGTGTACTAAATCCTAGGTTTGAAATCTGGCACTTTGTACATTGTGTGGCAAGGACTTAGTTCATCTTTGATGTCTGACCTCTGTTGACTACATCCTTCCCCTGGCCAAACCTGGCTCAAATCCTATTTAAGAGTGACATCCTTGTGAATTAGTCTGTTTTGGTTTCCCCAGCTGGGCATCATGGGAGTCATAAGCCTATATAGGAGAGCAGCTTGCCTATATAACCCAGTTTCCTGCTGGGACAAAGTAAAAACCTGCCACCTGTCCTCTCTTTGACTCACTGGATTTGTCACCCTGTTTTGCCTAAGGATGGTCCTAGATGTGGAAGATACAGCTTACCTGATAAGTAATGCAGTGAGTATGCAGAGGAACGAGTCTCTAAGGAGATACAGAAGTTGAAAATTAGAGTTTTGATGGAGTACAGTTCAGAGAGCAGTGATGCTTAACTTGTCCTGTGTACAAGGGGGGGATAGATCTTGATTCAGTGCCTTAGTTGTAACTTAAAACTGATGTAGTTGTGTAATTAAAAGGAAAACAGGTGAAATGCATAGAATGGAGTTGCCTAGAATCCTTATTTGCGACACAATGTGCAGTGTGTTCCTTGTATCAAATTAAGGAGTTGAGATTTAGATTGAGTTATTACCTCAGATATTGGAAGGTATTTAAAAACCTTTTTAAAAGTTTTTTTCAGAGGCTGTACACCTCTGATTTATACAGCATAATTTTGATAGATTTGAACTTAACTTGGACTTTGCCTCTGAGTATTACTGCAAGGAACAAGTCAAGCAAGCCCTGCAGCAGCAGGCTGCACTGCACTGATTGTCATGGGTCATATCTGTGTCCTGTGCAGTAAATAAAGGATTCTGCTGAGATTCAAAGACTGGCTACTGCCTTTATAATTCTTTGATTGTTACATGAATGTAACTGTTCTGTAAATAAGTGTCAGAAATAACTGTTGGCTTGTGATTCCCTTTAATACATGTGGGCAAAAGACCAAATTGTTTATACCCATCTGAAGTTCAAGTGGAGAAGAAATGAAAAAACAGTTTAATCTTTTGTGTAAGTCACATCTAATTTAGAGATTCAAAAGATGGTTGTCTGCATGCTTCCCCCATCCCCTTTGCTCTCAGAAGCAGTCTTAAAGCTGCAGAACTTTGTCCAGCATAAACAGAACAGACAACTGGGGATACAAGCATCATAAAGTCACCCTAGGGCATTGCTACTCAGGTTGGTTTGGCAGTGAAGGTGCCCTTGGCTTTAAGATCAGTAAGCATTATAAACTCCTGTTATCCCAAATAATAGCAGTTTACTTCTTAATGTTGTTTTTCTGAAAAGCACCAGAATAATGTTGTGTTTATTTTGGTCTATTAGCAAACTTTGGACAGTTGAGTTTATGCTCAGGTCTGTCCATCACAAGACATAAAGCAAACACATGTGGCTGCTCATTTTATTGGAGAAGATTACTTCAATCACAAGACTTCACAGTGTAATAAATCCTTATGGCAAATAAGCATATGCAAGCTACTTAATGCTGTTTTTTTGGGGGGGAATAGTGGTTGTTTCTCCACTAGAGTTCTTTCCCTAGAAATCAGGAATATTTTATCATGGTGACTTCTAGTTTTGCAAATGTTGAGTCATAGTTTAAAGCTCCTGTTATTCTAGGTGTCCTTACAACAAAACTGCTTTCTTTGTTTTCTTATCCTGCCTTTTAATGTGGTTAAAAACTGTTTAACTATTCCCTCAGCATCGGGTTAGAGCTAGCAGCTTGAGTGCTTCTGTAATTGTCTGTGGAGCAGAGGAGGTGACAGTCAGATGTAACAGAGCCCTCACCACGGGGGAGAACAGAGGGTGTTGGGATGGGAGTGCAGAGCAGACCCTGGGATGAGGCAGGACCTGTGCTCATGATCCATCAGGGTCTGCTGCAGCAGCTGTGGGGCACTTGGACAATCCCTGACAGATCCTTCCTGTTCTCTCCCAGGAGCAAGATGTGGAGACTGTGCATGGCTCCGTGCGCGTCACCATGTGTGGCACCCCCAGGGGGAACCGTCCGGCCATCCTCACCTACCACGACATCGGCCTCAACCGTAAGTGGGCTCTCCATGTGCCAGCACGGGTTCTGGGACAGCACTGGTGTCATCAGAGGTGTGAAAACAGCAGTGGTTAGGGAGCCCTTCCCAGGTCCTTGCTTGTTTGTGTGTGTTGGAAGCTGTTAGGTGGCACCTAACTCTTCCCTCATAGCAAGTGCAATTCTCAGTGTTTTTTATCCTTGCTCAGTAAATAATTGGAATACTTCAATTAAAGGGGCAAAAGATCCCTGGTAGTTCACAGGGACTGTTTTTGAATGCTGTAAAAAAAAATCTCAAGGGAAGGCTGATGGTGTATTGCCAATAGGACTGAAAAAAGAGCTCTGCTGGGGCTTTGGGTCACGTCTGATAAGCAGCCTTGTGCTGCTTGTGTTTATGTGAATTACATGTCAAGTCAGTGTGAAATGAGTGCTGGCTTTGTGTCCTTAGCCAGCATTAGGAAAACAGACTTTTAAGTGCTTTTTTTATCTTATCTGTCATATAATGAATGAATATCCAGACCTGCTCGAGTTTGTTCTTTTGTCAGTCCTATTTGTTGCACACAGTTCATGGTTTCTTAATCAGTTATCAATATTTAAAAACACCTGCTGACCTTTACAGGCTGGATATTGCAAGGGGGTGAATATTACTATTAAGAAAAAAAAAAAGCTTTCTTTCCTGTGTTTCATGGAAGTGCTTTTAATCTTGGTTTTCAGTGAAATGGGGCAGAGAAAATTTGGAACGTAACTTTAATTTAAACCTTGTTCTTTCCAGAGTTACAAAGTTGTTCTGGACTTGCATATTCTTCTAAAGTTGTTTTGAGTTAACAGTATTTTGTATTCTGACAAGATTTTGCACGTATGTTTTGTGAGGACATTCAGAAACACACAGAGAGGATCGAACCATTCTCTAGGCATCTCAAAGATGGTGCTTTCCACACCAGAAGGAAAATATCCTAATTCTCTCCCTGTATTAATATTGCTTAAAAATCAGAAATCAGATCACCTCAAGCCTTGGGGCCTACAGCACTGAGTATCCCTAAAAGATGCCTTTGTCTTCAGCTGTCTGTAGCAGTTCACATGTGTAGCAGATCACATAATGTTTAACTAGTAATATTTGGGCAAAAGCACAAGTCACATTCTTAGCCCTGAATATTTTTTTCCTCCATTTGTCCCAGGATGTGGGAAAGGAAATGGATAGTTGAATCTAAGAAAAAACCTGGTATGAATACCGTTGGCTAAATTTTGTTAGTTTTTAAAATTTGCATAAGGAATAATTTTTTGAGGAATTAGGTGTACCAAATACTTCCAGTAGGTACAAAAATAAGATGGAAAACCGTCGGTGACCTGATTGATTCAACTTTACATTAACCTGCAGGATAGATTAACAGACTATTTTTGTAGCTGCAAACTTAGTGTTTCCTTCAGCATAATTATTTCCTTTCTTTTCCTTCCCAAGATAAAACTTGCTTCAATCCTCTCTTCAACTTTGAGGATATGCAGGAAATCACCCAGCACTTTGCAGTCTGCCATGTGGATGCACCTGGCCAGCAGGATGGAGCTCCATCTTTCCAGACTGGGTGAGTTGCCAGGGGAACAGCCCATGCTCTCATGGTTACCCTCTTCTTGGAGAAGAGTCTTGGTCTGCAGTTTCATTAAAAAGTACTTGCACCAAGCACAGTAGTTGGCTTTTGAACTTAAATCCTGACACTATTTCTGAAGTACTGGCATTTCAGGAGCTCTGTTTTGTTGTGCCAGTTCACAGTAGACTCTGGAGCTGCAGTTTTATGCTCTACCTCTAACAGCTAGACTGTTTGGAAAGCAGTTCCTTGATGGATATCTACATCTTGTCAATTTAAATATTGAGATAGCCTGTTTTGTAATGACATCCTGAATATAAATACTAAATGATTACTGTAAACAAGACAGGCCTTAACCTCTACATAACATCCCTTGCAAATCTGTGGTCTTTATGAAATGGCAGCATGGTAGCTGTTAGATTGATAACCTACCTGGAAAATCCAGGTTGTTGGGCAGCACCAAGGTGATGAACCCCCACAGGAGGTTGCTGTGTACTCCTGACTGTGCCACATATGATGCTGTAACTCTTAGAAACCTCATGTGCCACGAGCACTGTCATTGCCAAAATGCTTTTCCTGTTTAGGTCAAGTAAGACAGGTTTACCTTGAGATGCCCCTTGCACAAGGATCAGCTTGGCTGAGACAGGGAGCAGCCAACATGCCAAGGGGGGAGGATCCAAGGCAAGGACCAGTTGGTATTAAGGAGCTTATAAGCACCCTTACTCCATGAGCCAGTCTATTTCCCTGCTTAATTTTTAAGCTGGTCTGATGCTGTTGTTAGCTGCAATGGCCCAGTTGTCTATCAGAGCAGCCTACAAATCTATTTCAGTCACCCTGTCTTTGCATTTGTTTAAATCATGAGCTTTTAAGTGCCTTAGCCCTCATGTCCTGAACAAGTGTTAATGCTTGAGTTGTCAGCTGCAGAGGGCAACTCTCATGATCTGTGGCTAGCAAAGACTTGAGAAAATGATGCCTGAAGTTTTGGCCTTGTAAAAATCTGTATTATATCTATCTGCCCTTTAAGTGAGAGACCAGCATGCCCAAATTAAGTCATAGAATCATGGTTGGGTTTTGATTGGGAAGAAGGGAAATTGGCAGGTTACCAGTGAGTAGGGACAACCTGATGAGATTGTTCAGAGCCCTATCCAACCTGATCTTGAATGCTTGCAGGGATGGGGTATCCACCACCTCTCTGGGCAGCCTGTTTCAGTGTTTACCACCCTCATTGTAAAAAAAAGCAACTTCTTCCTTAGATCTAATTTAAATCTACTTTCCTTTAGTTTAAAACCATTACCTCTCTTCCTATTGCAACTGGCCCTGCTGAAACATTTGTCTGCCTCTTTCTTATACATCTCCTTTAATTACTGAAAGACTGCAATAAAGTCTCCCAGACCAAAGCTGTTGCAGTGACATCAGCTTTTGTCATGCTAATTTTAATTTCCCAACAAGAAAATCTAAGAAAATAAATTGTTCACAATCCTTGATGGTTTTTGTTTGGTTATATTTTGGAGGCTAAACTACAGAATAATTTGGTGTAATTCTGATGGGAAGCAGAGATTTAAATACATCCTAGGCAGATGTTTTCTAGTGCTACTCTGAATAGATTTTTTTTTTCACATGCTACCCAGTTGAGATTTTGCTCAGAATCTCCTTCTCTAAGTTTTATTTCTGCTTTTAAGAAGACCAGGAGCATTAAGAAACATCTGTTTTTATTGAGCCTTCATCAGCTTCATAGCCTTTCTTATGCCTTCATTTTCTCCATCAATATGAAGGGAAAGCTGTTCTCATTTATCCTGTAGTAATGTTTGTGTCCCTAAAAACACAGATGTTTTTTTCCCAATATCTAGAACTCATTTCTGTAGTCTCTGATTATGCAATACTGGGAAACACTTTTGTGGTGAACTAGAAATACAAACAGTGAATGTGGTTGGACACTCATCTCTCTTGTTCAAACTTTTTCATAAGTTCTAACTGTTAACTTTCCTTGGGAAAGATTTATTGTGGTCTGTTTTGTTCTTGGATATCTATTGTCCTGTAACATATAGAATATATATAGATTATGCTCATATTTCTGTAAAATTACTTGTGCTTGCTCCTGATTTAAATTCAGTTCATACGCTTGATGAGCTCATGATGACCACATTTGGTATTGGATCACTGTGTCTCTAAATATGCCAGTGTACACTGCTGGACATAGTGTAGTAACTCCTCAAAAACATGCATGTTTTAGGTATGTGTATCCCTCCATGGATCAGCTGGCTGAAATGATTCCTGGAATCCTGAAACAGTTTGGGTGAGTACAGAGTTGTTTACTTATTTTTCTCATTCTCTCTACGTGGCTCACTGAAAGAGCAGGCATCTGCTTTGGCTTGGCTGTCTGGCATTTTGTTTGCTAGAAGTACACTTGTGGTTGTTTTGGATTCCTCTGTTACAGATGAATTGCTTTTGCCTTGGTTTCTGAAAGAGCTTATTTTTGGCCCCTTTTGAAATGTCTGTTTATTTTTAAACAGGAAGCAACTTAGGAGAAATTCCATGTGCCTAATTTAGGGGCTTCCTCCAGTATTCTTTGTGCATCGCCCTCGCAGGGGCAGGGCACAGACAATCTGTTCTTCCCACTGTAGCAACCCACTTTTTCCTGTGTGGTTCAGCAGGAAAAAAATTCCACAAAAATCACAGTCCCATCTGAAGACACAGTTTTGCTTCTGTGGCTTGAGTGTTCTAGGGGGTCAGTCTGACCTCTCTGAGCCTCTTCTACTACTGAGTGTAGGTGCCAGGTTACCAGTGTTGAAAGACCTAGTGGTGGTGGTCCTGGCTTGTCTACCTGCACCACATTTGGGGATTTGTCCTCCCTTAAAGCTCAGCTTTAGCAGGAGCTGTAGCTGAGAAAGGGTCCTTTTCTGTGGAGAGGGCAGACAGACACCTCCAAGGGGTTTTTAGAACAAGCAGAGAAAACTTGGCATTTTGGGTAAGGCAGCTTTGGAAGACACAGGCTGGGCCATCTCCCCAGTTTAGACATTGCACAGTTATTACCAGCTCTTACAGTACTCTGGACCAGCTTACTTCACTACCTCCTTAGGGGATGTGTGTTTTTTGAACTGCCCAGTGTCAGGCACAGGATTGTCAATTCTGCTGCACTGCACAAAAAAATGTGACCAATAACATCAGTACCTTGAAAATTAATTGAAGAGGAGTGTATTTAAAGTCTTGATTTCATATTGCTAATGAGAATCAAAGCTATCCTCAGGTATTTTCCTAAAAGCATTGAATAACCTGTTTCTCTGTGGTTTTGTCTTGCCTCCCCTTGCATGTATTTTCAACGACCTTGGAGGTGATGCTTTAAACCTGATTTCAGTTAATGCAAATATTTGGTTTGTCTCTGCCCTGTTTGGTTATGGAGTTTAAACTTCATCACCCCAGTGACTGGATAGCAGGAGATGTTTCCCTGCCAGCCTCCCGTTGGAGAGGAACCAGTGCCCCAGTTGGATAGCTGTGATGGGGAGGGGGGAGCTTTAGGCTGCAGGTTTCAGGTCTGTGTCTTATAAATTTTTCTGGCAGAGACTAATCACTTCCTCCCAGGACCAGAGCAGTACTTGGTTGCTCAGTACATTTACTTAAAGATAAGTCAGGGTAGCTGCTGTGCTGCAGTGCACAAGGACCAGGGTCCTGCAGATACTACTGGGGCCACTGACATTGCTGAGGGTTCTCAGCTTGCCCAAGCTGAGCCCACCCTTCTGTAGACACACACTGGCATGTGAAGGAGGAAGGCTACTGTAATTTATTTTCAGCATCCTTCCTCATTTGTCTCTTCTGTTTTATTGCTGTGCAGGCTGAAGACCATCATAGGAATGGGAACTGGAGCTGGTGCCTACATTTTAACCAGATTTGCTGTAAGTTTTGTGGAGCTTCCCTGAAGTCTCAAACCTGATTACCCTTACACGTTGTTCCCATAATGTGCATGGAGAATTCCTGTTCTGCCATGCCCAGTTAAGTATACAAGCCAGGCTTTTAAGTGAAATACCACAATCTGCAGGATAGCTAATCCAGAAGACCTAGATTTTCCATTTTAAGGCCTGGGCTCTACCCAGTTAATTTGCAGAAGGTTTTTATAATGGGAGTTCTCTATTTAAACTGAGGGTGGAGAAGAAGTTAAATCCTAATGTTCTCCAGCTGCTTAGTTGAATTGCTCTTATGATTTTTTTTCCCATATATATGCTGCTTTCCTGAAAGATAAGACTATACCTTCCACTTTCTTCCCCATGACATAATTTGCTAATTTATTTTTTTTGCTGACTGTCAAATTGGAAAGGATACCTTATAAATCTTGGTTTTTTTGCAGTTAAACCATGCAGAGATGGTGGAGGGATTAGTTCTCATTAATGTAAACCCTTGTGCTGAAGGTTGGATGGACTGGGCAGCAACTAAGGTAAACATCTTCAAGTTAGAAAAATAAATCTTACTGCAAGCCTGTGGGACATGAGGAGCTCAGCAGTCTTGTATGTCAAGGCATGGCTGCAGATACTGAACATCCTGGGCTAATCCTTTGGGGTTTATTCTTCCTTTTCCAAAAATACTTCATGCAGGGCTAGGGATAAAAATAAGCACTTTGAGAAAACAGATACATGTGGCACAATGGAGCTACTGGGATAATTAAGAGCTCATAACAGTTTACCAGGACATGGTGGCTTTGAAAACATCTTTCAAGAAAACTTCAAGTGTAGTGTAGCATTCAGTGCTTTCTTTGGCTTTGTTTACCAACACAGTCCAAAATATGAAGCAGAGCACAGAAAAATGTCCAGAATCCTTGGTGTTTAAATCACCTGTGAGTCTTAGGTGCCAAAATGGCTCAGAAGTGAGCATTGGCTACAGATTATTCATACAGCCAGAAAATGTTGACATAAAAGAAACTCCTAGGAGAAACTTGCAGAGCTAGCATGTCACATTCTTTCAAGGCTTTGCTACTAAATATATTCCTATATCAAACTTATCAAAAAAATGGATAGACAAACTTACTTAAATGAAATGTAACTTTTCTATGCTGAAATGAATCTTGTGACCCATTTGGATTCCCACCCAGTGCCTCAGTGCATTAAATTCTTCCATATCTGTGCCTCTGCCTTTCACCTTTCAAGGCGAGTACTGCTCACCTCAAGAGCACAGCAGATATTCTTGTGTCCTTTCAAAGCAGGAGCATTTACTGTGGGTTGTGAGCTTCTGGTAGCAGTTCCATTGTATTGCCAGGGTGGGTTGTTGGGGTTGTTGAGTGGGCACTGGGGTTAAATGACACCCACCTGGTGCTTCTATAGGGAGGGATTCCCTACACACCTGTGCCCCTAGCAGTGTGTTCCTCTGTGTGCATCAGTGGAGACATCTGATGAGAATGATTCAAACCCCTAATGGTGTTCTAATTGGATTGAGGGGGGAAAAATATTTAGGATATTGTACATGCAGAGAGAGCAGAGAAACATCCATTGGTTTATTTATTGGGTAATTGGAATGTGTCATTTGTTCAGGGGCTGTGTTAATAGCAGATGCTTAAGTAATCTTGCTGTTCAGATTTCAGGTTGGACAAACGCTTTGCCAGACATGGTCATTTCACATCTATTTGGAAAGGTAACCTTCAAAAGATTCTTCTGATGTATTCAGTCATCTGTATTTACCTCCTGGGGCTGGGAGGAGTGCAGGAGCTTTCAGTTAAACAACAAAAGATGAAGTTAAACTGAGATGGGATTCATACTTGTGTCCCCAGCATTTTGGGCAGTATTCTTCCATAGGGTTTTCTGTGTCCTGAGTACTCAAGTGCATCTCAGTTGTGACAACTCTGTTAGGGACAGCTCCCTGTCTAGGCAGCCAACACTTAAGCATAAGAGTTGTATATGCTCATGTTCTGAGCTGGCAAACCCCACAGATTTCTTTAATATACTTGTAACTCTGTGGCAGCTGGTTATTAGTGTTAATGGTGCTCTCCAGTGCAAGCCTAATGCAAAGTGCTGGACTGTTTTCTGAGGCTACTTTTCTGTGCTTGAAATTGTTAGTAAATGCAATGGAAAACTCCATTCCAGCAGAACAAAGAACTAATCTATAAAGACTTTAGAACCAACTGTTTGATAATGTTACTGATTGAAGTCCTCAAAGCTTAGTTATTTACTATTGTGAAATTGAGTTCCACATTGTGCTTGTAAGCTTTCAACATCTGCTTTACCCTGGAAACACTTATTAGGCCTCTTACCCTGAATTTTTTTTTTGTTTGTTTGAAAACCTCACACTTGTCTGACTGTAACCATCTGTACTGTAACATGTTTTGCAATTGTGAGATTTTAAAATTACAACGTACTTGAGTTTTAAAGTGAAAATTGTGGTACTTCAAGCAGAAGCTAATATTAATTCTGGGTGACTTCACTGGGTGCTGAAAGCTGTCCCTTCCCTCAAGGTGCACTCCTGCTGTGCAAATAGGAGTCTGATACACAACTACTGTGCCATGTCTTCAGATCCTTTCAGAAAATAGCCCCTGTTCTGAACAATTCTGTCTCCACTTTAGGAAGAGATTCACAGCAACCATGACCTGATCCATACTTACCGTCAGCATATCATTAATGATATGAATCAAACCAACCTTCATCTCTTTGTCAACTCTTACAACAGGTAAATACATTTACCTGATTTCTAACTGGAAACTTCTAAGAGGCTGTCCAGCTCTTTAGAGAGAGTATTTCTTGTGTGGTGGGATTACATGTGTTCCCCCAGTATGAAGTTCTGCTTAATAGTGTCTTTAGGGATCTCAGGTGCTTTGCTTATTGGAGAAGCTTGTGCATTTGTGGGGTGAAAGGTTGTACCCTGGGACTGAACTATGACATTGATCCTTCAGTCTAAGTGTGGTTCTACATCAGTTATGGAGGCCACAACATATGTCAGATTAAATTAACATGTGAGTGTCTGTGTTATCTCTAAACTAGAATCCTGGAGTGAATGTTGTCACCCTTCAGTAAGTGTTTTGAGAGCAGCTGTGCATCTGAAAATTTGGGCTTGAAGTACTTGAAAAGTTTGTGTATTTGTGCAGAAATAAATTAAAATAATTTTTTCAAGTTAGTTATTATGTTTATATTAATTATTTAATTATTAAATAATAATTTAAAATATAAAATTTCTGCATAAAATAAATTTTAGGCAGAAATATGTTATAGTTAATGGAAACTATAGTTCTGAAGGCACTTGAGCTGTACTTATACAACAAAAAAAACCATCCTAGCCTAAAACCATTTAGAAAACCAAACAATAAAACTTTCAGGAAGATAGAGCAGGTGTGAGAATGGCTGGCTGTCAGAGGCATAAGCCTTTTGCTTATGCTGCAACTTGTGCAACAGAAATTGTCAAGTCCTTCCTAGCTCAGTTGCTGATGGTTATACACAGGAGACTCTGTTCCTCTGACAATCTCTTTGGAATTGGGTGGACAGATCCAAAAGCTGGAGCTCAGGGTCCTGGGGGCTGGTAGGCATGAGACATTGATGCTGATGCCCACATTCAATTTCTTATAAAGCAAGGAAGGAATAAGAGCACTGGCAAGGGTTGATTTGCTGCCAGCTGGGGAAAAGAGCGGGTTCTCAGGCACAGAATCCGAGCATGTCAGTAGAACTGCAGCTAATGCAGGACTTGATGCATCTTTAAGGTGTCTGGAGCACAAACCAAATCATTTCCACACACTTAACTCTCACCCTTCCAGAGCCACAGAATGCAGCTTGGAGCAAGTCTGTGCTGGATGGCAGACATAACACCACTCATGTGTGCTTCTTTGCAGGTGTCCTGTCCTCCTGGTGGTCGGTGACAGCTCCCCAGCAGTGGATGCCGTGGTGGGTACCTCAAACCACCTTTGCCATCCTGCTGAGGATGGGTGGGCGAGCCAAGGGGCTGCAAGAGGCCAGCAGAGCCCCTGCCACACATCAGGCTTTCAGTCCAGCCCAGTGGTTCTCCTCTTCCAGACGGCAGGGGAGCTGCCATTAATTCCATGCTGTTTGTCCCCTCTGCCTGTGCACTATTATTTAATAGCTACCACGTTAGGAACAATCACCACAGCAGTTCCAGTGAACCACAAATATTTTCCTTTAGAGAGGAATCTGCTGCTGGTATTTTAACTTGCTGTGTGGTGCTGGAGCTGTGCCCTGGGTCACTCTGGAGGTGAAGAGCTTCTTTTTGACCATTATAAGTCTTCCCAGATGACGGGATGACTTCAGATGTTGTGCCTTAATGGGCATGCCCAGTCTGCTGGCCGGTGGCCACATGGCTGCTCACCACTTGGGACACTACCAGATGACCCCAAATCACAAGATACACAGCACTTGTTGCCACTGAAGTCCCAGAAACAGATGAAAAAAAAAAAAATAATTCCAGTTCCTGACTATGGATTTGTACGTGGAAAAAATGCAGTTAAAAAAGTGAGCTGACTTACTTGGGTTTAAAGATGTGTATATGTATACAGAGTCTTCACACAGAATCATAAGACAGTCTGTATTTAAGCCAGAAAACGAGGTGTTGGATCTGTTTTGGTACAAGAACTCATACTTAAAGTTTTGTGTGCAATGCCTTATGCTGCTGTTCTTTTCTATAGGTTGAATGCAACTCAAAGCTGGACCCAACAAGGACTACACTTCTGAAGGTAATAACAAAAACTTTTTTTAAAAATAAATACTCTTCTCACCTAGAACCAGTTGGATTAGCTAAAAGAACAGAACTAGAGTGATGTGTTGCAATACTAATAATACAGTGAGAATCCAGTTCTGATTTAGAAAGACAATTCCTTCAGGATGAGAGTATTTTAGTGGGATAAACAAGACTAGGGGCTTCTTTTCAGAATTAACAGCAGGGAATTTCTCAGCTCTTCCATTTTAGAATAGTAGGGATGAGAGTCAAAATGTTCAGTATTTCACATACCCATAATGAATTTGACTAGAGCTGGCAAAGCTAATCTTGAGATATTTTGAAGGGTTTGAAAAGCTGTGAACAGAGTAGGAGTGCAAACCAGTTCACTCTGTTCCTGTGCTTGCCTCTCAGCAGTACTATCAACAGTTAATCTGTCAACCACAGTCTGGTCAACCTGCCTTTTATGAGGGTACAGTCCAGGGCATCTTACTGCTGTTTTCCAGAAAAAATTGAAAAAATGCACTTACAAACAGCAGGCCATCATGCAAAGGCTTTGGCTGATATTTGGCATTCAGAGTTTGAGTGCAATCTTCAGCTTGTTACTGATGAGGTAATAGCATGCAAGCAGTGAAACAAGTTTGGTCACGCTTTGCCAAGAACTTCTGCTGCATCTCTCTTTAGTGAACTAGTCAGTGAAAATTAGAATAAAATTTCTGACAGTGTCTCAGACCTTGTATGAGTGGCCAGTCTTTGCTCAGTCCAGGGATATGGCTGGTGCCAGATTCTGCAGCAGGCCTGTTTTGCTGCTAATTAATCCTAGATAGGGATAGGATTTGGGGTTTCCTGTAATTTACAACTCTACTGTTTTCAGTTTGTAGTGTCCTTGGAACAGGACTGTTTTTATTGGGTTGATTTTGAGGGGTGGAGTGTCAGGAAAAATGAAATGCTCCAAAAATATTTCAAACACTGAAGATAACTTTTCTCATTTGGCTTCCCCTGCTTCCCTTGGCAAGTCAGGCTGATGCTTGCCCTCAGCAATCTCAGCAAATAGTTTTTCCCTCTCACCTCTGAGCTCTAGGTGTTTGTTTTCTCTACCCTGTTTGTCATCCAGGTCAATACAGAGTCATGTTATTGTAATTCAGAGCTGAACTTGCTACCAGGACTAATAGGCTGGTTTCTAAGAAACTGGTAACTGCTGCCCAGCAAAAAGTATTTGTAGCTCCAGCTGATGCTTTCCCTGAGCATCAAGATACTTTGTGGTTTTCTGGGGTGTAGTCACGGCTTTCAAAAACATTTAACAGCTTGCTTTGATATGTTCATCCAAGTGTATGTTACTCACACAACAAAAGGAAGTGTTTTTCCTGCCAGATAGCTAGAAAGGTCACATCAATATATCCTGAGCACAAGTGAGTTTCTCTGGCATTATGCTAACTGGCTGTTCTCATCCTGTTTCAGATGGCTGACTGTGGTGGGCTCCCCCAAGTTTCCCAGGTAGGATTTGGCTGGCAGAAATCCCACTCATCACAGTCTGCAGCATGTCAGACTGCAACAAATGGATGTTTTCCTGTAGGGTACTTGCTGTTCCCAAATGTCAGCCAAAAGGATGGTTATGATTTCATGAATAATGATGTCAGTTGGTCATCTGAGCTTTCTTTTTTTTCTTTAAAGAGCATTGAAGCACAAAATTAAGATTGGGAGGGGATATTATTTTCACTAATCAAGTCTTAACCAAGTAAAGAACTGAGGTGGGAAATGCAGAGGTATTATTTTATCTCTGTTTACTAAGATAATGTGAGTTAAGGCTTGAGCCACTGACATTTTAACAACATTTTTACTTGGACTATTTATAGTATACATCAGGAAAGTGGGAAGCAGGAAATAACAATGCTAGGTTATTGCATACACAGGCTTGGCTTGACTGTGGATGAACTGGAGTTTCTAAAACACATTTAGGCATAAGTTCCAAGCTGCTAATAAAGCCAGACTGGTAAAGTTAAAGTTTACCTATGCCTTTGTGTTGCCTCACTAAAAAAGCTGATTTGTAAATCAGTTTTGGAACGTGATCTAACACTTAAACAGATTTCTAAGCAATATAAAGCAGTGTTTGTGAACTTCAGGGAAAGCTAAATTTGTAATTGCCTGCAGCTGAAGTCCTTGTGCAGGCAGTGTGTGCTCCAACAGTGGGAGTTGGGAAAAGGCTTTTTTAAAGGCACACGGTAGTATGTGCATTGTTTCTGATATGGAGAGTCCATTCTTTGCAGTGGTGCACAGAATCACACACAAAATATTTTCATGTGAAATAATTGACACTGTGAATCTTATGTGGCCACTGCTAGCAGAGGAGAAAAACAGGGAGTGCCTCATTGCAAGAATGTCAGTTGTGGGCAGTTGTGCTTGTGTATTCCTGGTGAGCTTTCTTGCCCTATAAACATAACTATCAGCTCTGAATAGCTGAATATATTCTCTAGTGATTAGGAATTACTCAATTACTGGTCTTGTATGAGCTGCCTTGTACATTTTGTGAGGCCAGTTGTTTTACTTTGGTTCAGCTGCCTCAGTAACTGCAGAAGTCAAGTTTTGAGCTGGTTTTAGACCACTTGTGCTCCCTGGATCTCAAATGCATGTATCCATTTTGTAAAATAATGGGCAGATGTCTAGGGAGGGGAATGGTGGAATAGTCTAATAAATTAAGTCTTCATGCAGTCAGTAGAACACAGAGAATGTTTAGTATGTCCCTGTTAAGACAGGGCATCTGTGGAATCTGTAACACTGTAATATAACCTACTGAGCATTGCTGCAATAACTCTGTCTCTCTTTTGCAGCCTGCCAAGCTTGCTGAAGCTTTCAAATACTTTGTTCAGGGAATGGGATACAGTAAGTATTGGTTTTATTGAATAGCTGATCTTGCTACCAAAGTTAACTGGGCATCTAAGCACCCAGAGAGTCTCTGACCCCAGATATGTATATAACCTTTTCCCTTCTGGGTATGCATTTGCAAGGGGAAAAAAGCCACATGCTATATCTGGGCAAAAGGTTTTCAGACCAAGTGATGTTGTTAAATAGAAGAGAGCTTTGTTAACAGCTCATGCCCACAAATACCTCTTTTACTTTATCTCAATGTTTTTAAAGTGGCTATTTGTAATAGTGTCCCCTCATGGCATCAAAGGATGTGGCTCATCTACTGCACACAACATTTGGAACCTCATTAGCTCAGAGACTTCTTTGAGTTGTAGCTGTTTGTTTTTCACATATTTGCTTCTGACAGCTGCTGTGAGGATGCACTATGAGCCTGGCCTGCCAGCAAAGGTTGAATATTGGAAAGTAATGGGAGGGCTGATGAGTCTCTTCAGTTTCCCTCTGAATTTCTTGCAGCAACGTGCCCTAAACTTTCTTGAATCCCTCAGCCCTGGCCACTGCAATTCCAGTGTAGTAATTTGGTCTCTTTATGTGCCAGGAGCAGGGGAGGCACTTCTGCATGTAAAGGTACCCTGAAAGTGTCTATTCAACCATGAGGGCTCCTCCAAGGGTGGTTAAAGCTGAGAGGAAGGCGAGGGCTTCCTTCCGAGTCCTGGTGGCGAGGTATTAATGAAAGACTCTTCTTGCAGTGCCCTCTGCCAGCATGACCAGGCTGATGAGGTCCCGCACTGCTTCTGGCTCCAGTGTGACCTCCTTGGAAGGACAGAGGAGCCGATCCCACACCGGGGAGGGAACGAGGAGCCGATCCCACACCGGGGAGGGAACGAGGAGCCGATCCCACACCGGGGACGGTTCCAGGAACCGCTCCCACACAGACACACGGATCGAGCTGACGCCGAACTCGGCAAGCAACGCTGAACAATCGAGCCCCAAGTCCATGGAAGTGTCCTGTTAGATGGCTGTGGGAGGTTTTAAACTGGTCACAGTGTGAAAAAGTAATGGATGCCCCCTGTGTATCACAAAAACATAACTGGTATTAATCTCTAGCTATTCTGTAGGATGAACTCTGTTCACCAGGGTCTGAGAGGGACCAAAGAAAAGAAGCATCTCATTTGCTCTATCATTATTCTTGTATCTCAGACAGCTGCTGCTATCGTGCCCTCCTTCAGTGGATGCCAAATTCTAAAGGATACTTGCCAAAAGCTGATGTGGTTGTAAACACTTCAGAGTCAAACCAGAATTGCTCAATACCCTCCTTTAAAATCAAAGCTGTTACAGGCCCCTTTATCTCTTACTCTCTTGAAGTTAACTGGCACAATTTGAGATGAGTCTCAAAGCGGGGGAGAAAAAAAAAATCACTTTTAAGGACGACTTTAAGACAAGGAAACGAAACAAATGTGTTATGGCCTCATGTTGAAGCTGGAGTTGAATTCATTGTATATAGCTTGACTTCAAATGATAGAAAAGTTAACGTATCGTGCATTTATAGGCCTTCTAATTCATTAGTATTCAAGCCTGTTTTCCTATGTACAATAATATACTACTAAAATAGGCAATTTTAATGTGACTTTGAGGTGAACTAAATCTTTAAGGTTTTTCATTTCACTTTTTTGAGATTTAGTTCCAGTCTTCCTTTCCTTCCCCCCTCATAGACCCTAAAACCTGCTTAGCCAAATGAGGACAGGATTTAAATTTGGTAAGCAAGGTAGGATTTCCTGTTTGGGAACTTGGGCCAAAGGGTTTACCAAACTGCAGAAGCTGGTGTAGTTGTAACAAGTAGGGTAGCTGTACATGCCAGCTAAGCAGAAACAGCTTGATATTTCCTTCAAAAAGCTTCTTATCTTTGCAGCTCAAGTTTTTTTGTGTCCAGCACAATTGTGATAAATTTGGAATTCTGTAAGCAAAGACAGATCCAGCTGTTCTTTGTGAGGAGAGATGAATAACTGTGGGATGGGCATGTAATTACATACTGTACATTCAACTGCCACTAATTACTAGATTTGAAACTGATGAGATCTCACTGGTGCTGAAAAGTGTATTCCACGAAGTGGTGGAGCAGCAACACTGTATCTCTGGAAGACAGTGTCTAATGACTTTGTAAATGTCATGATCTGCTGGTTCTGCATCTTTGCATAGCCTCCTTGGGTTGCTTTCTTTGAAGCTAGTGGCTTGATACCTTTCTGCCACTCAGAATGTCACAGTTGGGTGTTCCTAAGTTTGTCCTTCCATAGCTAGTGGGAGAGGATTTCCAGAGCTCCAGTGCATACCTGCTGAATTGCAGTCCTCACACAGACAAAAAGCTCAAATGCTGAGCAGTTAATTAATATTTGGGATTGCTTGTTCAGAAGAACACCATCTAGGTTACTTTATATTGACTAACTTCAGCTCTTGTGTAGAATATCCATAACATTTTGTGGGAAGAACAGACAATTTCCAGAAAGAATAAAGCTATTGTGTAAAGTCTATCAAGAAAAGTTTCTTAATGAAGTATTTGTATTTATTTCAAAACAAATAAATTTGTAACTTTGCAATGTCTGGTGTCTTCATATTTTACCAGGAGTACAATAACCTTTTTCAGAACATATTTTTTCCAAACATATTCTTGTCATCCCTTTGTATCAACAAAGTCTTTTTGATTTTGCTCAGATCTGTCATTTCCTACTTTTGTGCTCAGAGCTTTCCTTCCTCCAGCCTATTATTTCTAAGAAAACACCACACACTTCAGCATAGTTGCTGACTGTACTGAAGGATATAGAAATATAGAAAATATTGAGCCATGATAGAGTACTATTTGCTGTTTGAGGTTTTTTTGTTGCCCTGGATAAAGTACTGTCTAGTGCACAGATCTGGGCTCTGACTTCCTTGCTGGAGTTGGTGCCACACTCATTGCATCATTTCTGATCTTTAAATCCATTGATGAGTTCCCCATGACTATCTGGAGTTATTCAGGCCTCCTGATGGAAATTGCAGATGCAACTTGGATTTTCTAAAGGCGGTTCTTTTTGGAGCTCTTACAAAAATGTAACTTCAGGAAAGCAAAAGATTAACCTAGTGACTTACTTAATATACTGGAATTTTCAGGGACAAGTGCTTTGATGACTTTGCTGGGACTATTCTGGGCTGCTCATTCCTCCTGTATCTCAAAAAAATCCTGTGCTAGGAAGATGCAAAAGCAAATATTTGTCATGTCTGAGCCAAGGCTCTACTAGATGTGATGATTCAGCAGTCAGGACTGGACTGATACCAGCAAAGGGTTTGACAGCCAGTGCCAGCTCATCTTACAAAAGAAGGGCAAAGTTACATTCTTTGCTGAACTTTTCTGGGAATGGCTAATCATTCCTTCCACAAGGACACTGTGGTGTGCCTGTCAAGCCTAGGCAGTTTATTTTGGTTTAATGGGGAGGAATGCATCCAAGCCTTATTGCAGCACAAAGGGATCTGTGAGCACTTCTGAGCTGCAAGGAGTTGCTAGGATCACTATAAATGTCAGCTTTGCACTGAAAAGTGTTCATTTGGCAAAGAACGCTGTGTTCCTGTGCATAAAAGCTGGAGGGCAGCACAGAGGAGTGGTGTCTTACCTTTTAAAAGGAGTTATGACACCTCCTTCCCTGCAGTACTGGTCTCCTGACATCTTTAGCTTGTGTTGTAACTGAAGAGATGCAAGTGGCTTGCAGATTCATTAGAAATTTTTATGAAAACCCTTCCCAGACCTGCAAAAGCTGATTTTTGCATTGTTGGAGATAAAATTAGCCTGGACATTGTAGAGTCATAAACCTGGAAAACAGGATCTGAGGTTTCACTTTTTTTTCCAAGTGTGAATGGCCACCAAGGAGTAAGGAGCTACTCTGGCATAGAGGAAACTCTGGGTAATGGGACATTTCCAGAAAATATCCAGTTTGCCCCTCACAGTGCTTTTGGGGCTATAAAGAAAGAAAACAGGATGGGCTCCCAGGGACCATGAGGCTTTTTGATTGCATTAGTGTATCTCAATGCCAAATACTTGCTGCAGTGGTATTCTTTAAAACCACTAATAGAAAGGCTATCATTGCTGAAATCCAAGTTATTTCCGCCTCTGCCTAGGTCTCAACATCTACTGTATAAAAAATCCAGCTAAACTTCATGGTCTCTTTCCCCCTCCCTGTCCTTGCAGAGAGGGAGTGGGAGAGGATGTGTCACTACCCTGTCATGGCAGCAGGACTTTTGTGCTGAAGGATGCTGCCACTTTCCTCTTTAAAAGTCTCTGTTGACTGAACAGCTGGAAACTTTAACCTAGATGTGTTTTCGAGGTTTATGATTAATGTCATGTGTTGTGAGTGATGGACTGAGCTGGAGTGAAAACTGTTTATAGCAAAGCTGCTTATTTTTTCTCTCCAGGGCTGGAATCCTCTCCCAGTCTGCTTTTGCATCTCTGGCAGAGTATCTTCTGCAATCCTCAATGTGCCTGCAATGGGGTCTGTTGCATCCACCAATGCAACACATTGAGCAGTGTTGCTTGCAGCTTGGCTCTCCCCCTTCCCACGTGCTGTCTGCTTCTTTTTTGTCTTCACACTCTTTTGCACTATTTCACATTCACAGGCACAGAAAGCCTCTCCCTGTCTGTCTATATGAACAGCTGTTTTGGATGTGTGGATTTAGCGTTTCCACTGAGCCAAATATAGACTTTATGTTGGTAGCTGATCACTGCTATGCTTAATGTTTAAATAACTGACAGAAAGGATGTCAGGGTATTTTAAGAGCTCAACCCTTCCCCCTCAGCCCTTTGTAACAGACAGACACAGCCTCTCACTGTTCTATCTATTGCTTCATTAAGGGCTCCATTCATTTTATAAACAACACAGCTGCTGACCAGTGTTGGGGGGAAAAAAAAAAGGAAAAAAATGCTTCTGACTGCAAGTGCCAGACAGTTCAATGTCTGTTCTCTGCAACTCAGCATGGGGATCATTTGCTTACCCAGCACTCCTGGGGGCTGGAGGAGAGTTATGTTGATGTCACTGAAGAGGCAGCCCCTCATCCCATACACCTTACATATTTTGACACTGGTGGGATGTGCATCAAACACTGGGTGCAGACATCACTGGGCATGTCCTGGAGAGCCCAAGGGTTGGGAAGGGGGTAGCAGGCAGTTTTCCTGCACCAGCAGCTGTACCATAGTGAGCTGTGACCAGCAGGAGAGCTGCAGAAAGTATCCTTGGGTGACCTGCCACTCTCTGCAATTGCTTATGGCTGGAGTGGATTATGGTATTCAGGTCAAGGTCAGTGTGTGGAGGGGTTTGGGGGAGGGCAGGGTTGTTTGCTGGGCAGCAGTATGGGAGAAGGGCTGGGGCAGAGCCAGGCAAAGCCTACACAAGCCAGGGCTCTCAGGAAAGAGCAGGACATGCCACCAGCCTGGGCTTTTCGTCCCCTGGCTCTCTGTGTGTATGTACGAGTCCCCAGGAGGCTCAGCCCTACATGCAGCATGATGGGCAGGGAAGATGGGGCTGCTGAGCTGTGGGTCTGCCCCACCCCATGGACCTGCCACTGGCACAGGGAATAGCCAACCTGTCTGTAGAGTTTGGCAAGACTGCCCCATGCAAAGTTCCCCTCACACAGCAGTGAGATGCACAATGTCCAACCAACCTGCTGGATCTCAGACCCACACAGATCTCTCCAGCTAGGAAATTGTCATTTACTGAACAACTGCAATATGTTTTCATTTATTTTTAATGATAATGTGACCAAATTTTAAAAAATCATGGTTGTTTATCGCCAGCTAAACACTGATCTGATCCTGTGGTGATTCCTTCTCTGCTGCTCATGTGTGTTTGGGGCAGAGGAGATGCTACAGAAACAGAGCCTCACAAAGGGTCAGCACTTCATTTGGAAAGTGCAAAGTTCTGAGGAGATGATGGAATTCCCAGGCTAGTGAAAACAGCCGGGAAGCCCATCATGCAAGACTGTGTGCTGGGCAGCTGCCACATGGGTGAGCAGAGGTTGCAGAGGCCAGATGGGACTTCCAGTGCCTGTAGAGACAGCAGGAAAATATGGTACCTTTGTTGAAAGCTATTGCCAGAGGCACAGTTGCCTGGAAAACTGTCCTTCCTGGGGAAAAGAAAAAAGAAAAAAGAAAAAAGAAAAAAGAAAAAAGAAAAAAGAAAAAAGAAAAAAGAAAGGGGAGAACAAGGAGAAGCTGCTTTCTTGCCATAAGCAAGCTCAACCAACTCATCTCAGTCCAGGACAGGAGGCTACTCAAGTGTTTAAGTTCCTATCAAGGCCAGTAACATACTTCAGGCTGGAAGGCAAGCTTGATTTGTGGGAAAACACTGCAGGTATTTTTTTCTAGAATTAAACAGTAGCATCCTTACTGGGGTTAGCTCTTGGGGGTATGTGATTTTTTAATTTAAATGCCTTTCCCCATGTCATTAATAACCTTGTTTGAACAATTTCAGTATGTATGGCTATTGCAAACTGGTTACTCCTGCAGCTTCTCAAGAGAGCCTAAAATGAAGACATGCTTAGGCAGGTTGAGTAATTCACTCCACCTTGCTCAAAGACTCTAGACCTCTGTCCCAAGTCCAATAAGAGTGTTGCAGAAAAACACCCCAAATGTGAGCCAGAAACAGACCAGCAAAGAAATGTAAGCTGGGAAACAATTGACTTTTCCAATCTGCCAAAAGATTCAGCATGAAGGAATTGCTCCCAGACCATCCTTTTTCACCACATTACAGTACAAGCTCTTTGATTTTATGTGTCCAGTTCACGGCTTTGTCACAGATTGCAAAAGCCCACTTGGACATTGGCCAGGCAAGAAGATCAGAAATGTCAGTCACAGATATCTTTCACCTTCATTTGCTTGCCTAAACTTCTAAACAAGGTGTTAGTCACAGATTCATTAACCATTTGCCACTTATTTAATATCTTTGAACCACAGCAGCAATGTGCCATCCTAAACAACCTCACCATGACATTTTACAAGCAAGTAATGTGTTATATAGCTGGAGTAACTCAGACTGCCAAACCAATCTTGTTTTCCCATTAATTTTTCATATATTTCAGTATATGAAGCTTACAGAAATAATTTTATAGAAATATTAAAACTGGAAAGTCACAATCTGAGAAGGTAAATGTATGGAGATGTGCCTCTAGATAGTGAGAACACTGTCTCTATCAGTTTAATAAACTGTTTGTTTCAAATTTCCTTCAAGAAAGCTGGGACAAAAGAATGACATAGTCTTTCTAAATGTTGTGGTTTTCCTGGAATATTACATATACAGAGCACAGCCCCAGTGAGCAAATCAAAAACATGGCAACTGTGCTATACCCTCTTTCCAGTGGCATTCACACCAAAATGGTGGTTTAAATTCTAGCCTTCATAGAAAGGCATTTTAATAAGCTTCATGCCTGCTTCTTTGGTGAGTAGAGAACCTGTTTTCTGGGGCTCCCAAGCAAGGTGGCTAGAGCTACTGTCCTGTCTCTGGTGAAGTCTCCGCAGAAAGCTGATGGCTATGGTTGCTGGAGGTAGCTGGAGGTTTGCTGTTCATACCAGCATGACCAGACCTCCAGAATCCCAGCCTCCACCCTTGGCCCAGCCTACAGGACCCGCAGGATGATTGCCATGAGCTGAACAGTGTAGCAGCATGGAAAATGGATAGTGTTGCTGCTACCACTCCAAAGCGTTCCCGGGGGATGCTGCTCGGATGGGCACAGACAGTCACTGATCCAAACCTCACACACGCCAGGATAGGTCAGGAAGGAAAGACAGGAAGGGTGTTCTGTGTAGTATTCCAGTGAGGTTTATTACAAACTCCCACCAAAGGGGTCCAGTGACAAAAGACAAGTATTTCCTGCAGTGTCTCAGCTTAAGTATGGGCTCAGGAGCCAGTGGTTTGGGGACACAGAGGTGGCACAGGGGTAAGGCAAAGGACAGTGACCTATAGAAATGGAGGCAGACTAACCTAGTGTTGCATAGCACAATGGATAGAAATAGAAAAAAAAAAGCCTTTTTTTCTCATCCCAAGCAGTCAGGCTTTCTTGAAGCCTGTGACAGATTCTTCCAGGGCATCCCTCCAGAGGTTCCCCTAATAGGCTCAAGGGCCTCCACAGAATATGTGTCAAACTGTCCTGGCTTAGGTGGACTGCAGAATTGTCATTCCCATCCTTTCCTTAGCCTTTCACTTGCCCACTGCAGCAGGGGGGCCTGATCCTGGTATCTCCTCAATGCTGTAATTGCTCCTCCTTGGATGGTGGCATCACTTTCAGGTCCCAGCAGAGACCTGGGCCCATTGCACAAATGTACAATGAGCATCAGTCCCTGCTGGAGGAGTTTTCACTCTCAGCAGAGGCAATGAACAGTAGGGTCTTGTTGCTTTGGGTCTGAAATCCTGAGGAAAAGAGAAGCAAAGGGCTGGATCCATGAAAGCCTTAGGGGATCTAGATCTTCAATGAATTAAAACAATAACCACAGAAGTACTTTTGTAAAAGATACATGATTTTCCCAGGCGCAGAGGGAACCAGGGAACTGAATCTAAAGTTGGACTGTTGCCTTAGTCCTAGGGCTAATCTGCTTGTAAACATCCATTAAAACAAAGGATCTCAAATGCACCATACACTGCAGATCAAGTTAATTAGCTACAAGTGATGCTCTTCCCCATTCAGAGCCACTGGACAAACAACCAGTGGCACAGGTAGAGTATTAGAGCTAACTGCACTTGGTTTCCTACAGATTTGTCTCCTGTGTCCCCAGAAAACTCCTTTACAGCAGTGTAATAACCACTATTCCCCATCTGTGATTCCTTCAGCTCTGTCTCCTCCATGGCTACTCGTTTCCAGCTGGCAAATCTGTTTAAAGCCCCTTTATGTTGCTGCTGGGGTGGTTGGGCCACACTGCAGCCGTGCTGGGTGCAGTGACTGCCTGGCAGGTGTGCATGGGCTGGACAGGGACAATGTGGTGGGCCTCTTCCCTGCCCTGCTCTTGTTTTTATGTTTTATTGCAGGAATTGCAGTGCTTCTGGGATCTTTACACTTCTGCCTGCTTTGTTTGACATTTCCCACAAAGGGACTGCCTGGCAGATGAACAAATGAGCAGTGTGGCTGCATACACCCCGTTTCCTTAGGAAACCAGGCTAGAGACAGAAACATCTTGGGTGCGTTGGGCAAGACCTGTGGTTTCCAGGCTTTCACTTCACTAAAAAACTGACACGCACTGGAGCTGCTGGTCATGCATTAGCTTTCAACAGCTTCTTTTATCTCTCAGTGAAAGCCTTGTGTTACAGCCCCTGCAGCATTTGATTGCTGTGGTTACAGAATTAACTAATTGCAAAGCAGAGCGAGCCAGTTAAGGGACACAGTTTTTTATACATGATCTGGTCCTGTTTTCTTGCTTCCTTCTGTATACATGTAAGACTGAGAATGACTGTCTGTACTTATAAGCACACATTACACATGCACCACTTTTATGCACCATAGGAAAATATATATGTAAATATACACACATATATATTCATGGACATGTTTCCATATGGTTTTATATATAACATTATATATAATATAGATGCCTGCACATAATATTTTATAGGTGTGTATACATCTACATATAAATGTGTATATACGTATATATTTATTTTATATGTGCATATGCATACATGTTTCTACACACACACATATATATGGCATTTTAAGATGGGCATGAACTAGAACACAGGATTCAAAGTCATATTTAGGGGACCTGATTGAGAAAGAGGTCCTAGTATATTTTCCTTATAACTTCTTAATACAAACCATTTTCCCTTTTGGAAAACATTTTTAAATTCTTGGCCACAGCCTCTTTTTTGTATGTTCACGTGGAACTTTTTTGCCAAGGAATGGATCCTGAACTGCCACATTCTCAGTCTTGCAAGTGCTGAGGTCTCGTTTGACTGGAAGCACATAGGTCAGGTATCACCTCTGCTGCCACATCATCCAGGCCAAGACAGTAATGAAACTGAATCTTGCAAAATGCTGGTGGCCTCAGGTTTCTCATCACTAGAGAAACAAAGAGAAGAGGGGCTTTGTACCAGCATCAGAATATGTGGGCAGGGGTCACCCTTCCTTTCTGCCACTAGAGATTTCATGGAAGTTTCAAAAAAGGAATAAAGCTTTAAATTCAGGCATGACCTAGGTCTATAAAGAATATATGGGCCAAATCCTTGTATACAAATTAAAATGTTATTTGTGTTAACAGCTTTTAAAGATATACAGCATTTTTCCTAATTGTTTTTACATAGGCATGACATTATTTTCAGCCCACTCACAAGAACTCTTAATTCATCATATCCAGAAAAATTTGAGTCTCCCAGAAACTAATCAAGCTTCTACTGCATTATCAAGATGAAGACAGACAATCTTCCAGCCAAAAGTAAAGCAAAATAAACGACTGCATCATCCCAAGTTCAGCCCTGTACTGATCAGATCTACACATCATGTGTCACTCAGCAGTTCTACTGTGTCACCAGGGCTTTTTGAAGTGGATACTACAGTTCTCTTGCTCATGCAGAAACACAGGTTTGCTCTCCCAAGTGAAACAACAACAAACATGCCATGGGGCATAGCTGCTGTACTAATAATTTATTGGAGAAAAAACTGACTTCAACATCCTTCAGTGATGATAAATTTTTACCTGGAAAGGTAATGATAAGGGTTTTTTTGTTCTCTTAGCTGACCTTTGAATGTGAAACCACTTCTGTAGAAAAAGTTTACATTGATGTTCACTCTAAGCATCAGCCCAGCTGGATGGAATCAATGCAACAGAAACGATGCCAAGGGTTGCCTCTCCTTCTGCATCCACACATTCTCAGAGATGATGTGAAGCCTAATGCTTGTTTTCTCATATGAGACATCTCCTTTCCTCTACCCCAGTCATGTAAAACAATGATTTGTGTTACTGGCAAAGTGACAGTGGGAAGAGGCACCTGTGTGCTGGTAACACCATGGGGAGCAGGAGGTGGTGGTGGTCCCCAAGCACAGGCCACACAATTTCTATTTTCTATCAGAATAAATGGATGCCTGAGGTCTTGTCCTTCACTTCTTACCTGGCTCCCTACATTTCATCTGCAGAGATAGCCTAGGAGCAATACATCACCTGTGGGTTAGATGACTATCCTGAAAATGAGCTCTGGGGTAGCTGTTCTGGATTCAGTCAGATCAGAGAAGGTAGAGAGCTATGAAAATGTTCCTGGCACATGATACTTCAAGAGACTGAGATGAGTCCAAGGAGAGCAGGACTCAGAAGTTCTTGGACCCAACCTATTGCAGTGAGAGACAGAAATATCACACAGAGATTTCAGGAGAAAAACTCTTCTCCCATGGCCTTTCCCATGAAATTCACCATGGAATATGATCTGACTGAGAATAACAGAGGGGTGATTCTAGGACTGATCTCAGTGTGACAGATGCTAGACTTTAGCTGCAAGGGTCAGACCATCAAATAATGGCATCTAACATTAAATATAAAACATAAATGTCAGTTTTCCAGCTTAGACAATAACATTCAAGAAATGACAATAAGGATGTCTGAATCTCATGCCTAAGCTAATGACAGCCATACTTTTGCTGTCATACTAGTGTTATGTTCTTTCCTATGGGCAATTAAACTGCTGGCCTAGTAAATGACAGTGCCAATAGAACTGGTGCATAAAGGAGCTTCTGTCTACTCTTAGTGGATGAAGATCTATTAGAGTTAAAAATCTTGTTTGTTCAAGGCCTCTTCAAAAACATTGTGGCAAAACAAAAAGATTTAGTATTGATGCCTTAAATTGTAGTTTTCATATTTTCCAGACTCTGTACTGCATTAGTATATAACTCTGAACTTCATATGAAGTGTTAGCAAGTTCTTTTCACAGTTTAGTTAGACAAAACAATTCTTTTCCAGCCCAAGAACCAAGAACACCATTGCAGTTTCAGGCCCAAAAAGAATAAACAGTGAATTGAGGAGAGGAATCTGGAAGGATGGGACTTCATAACCTGAAGCTGTAATTGGACAATTAACCCAAATATGTAAATGGACCAAAACTTATAAATGTGTGAAAATGTGTGGCCATCGTCCATCTTGGGTTCAGCCTCATCCAGACTCTTGTACTGCCCAAGGTGTAGCCTTTGAAGGCCTTTTAAAATAAATACCTACTTTATTTCTTTTACACTGTCTAGCCTCTGTTCCAGGTAGCCTCTCAAGGCATCAGCATCCTAACTCGGGAAAAAAACAAATTGCACATTGGAAGTGGATGAAGATTCTCCTTTTATTTTAAAACCTCTGTAAAATCAGAGCAAAGGGACAATTCCAGCATTCAGCCAATTTAATTAGCGATTTCAGAGTAATCATAGTAATGAGCCAAGTCAGCAAAGATGTCATTTGGGTTCCTGCAGTTCAGATTGCAAAAACACGCATTGATCCACAAAATTTTCCAGGAAAACTCAGTTCCATCTGGGCACTGAAACCTCACTTCAATAGTCTTGGACTTGTAGGGTGTGCAGCACCTGTTGTCTGTGCAGACACCACAGTACTTGGGCCTGTATGGACTTTTGCTCACACATCCAGAGATGGTGTAGTTCATGGGTTCATTCGCCCTGTAGACAGCCAAGCATTTCTTCCCAGGCTAAATCAGAGAAGAAAATAAAAACAAAGAGGTTAATATTCAGTGCTGATACAGGTAGAACATAAAACCCACCTTGCTCTTTACAACTACCTGAAAGGAGGATTTGGCAAGGAAGGGGAGATCGAGGGTACAGGGGCTCAGCCCCTTCCACCAGGTAAACAGTTTAGGACAAAGAGAAATGGCCTCAAATTGTGCCATGAGAGATTCAGGTTAGATATCAGGAAAAATTGCTTCACTGAAAGAACAGTTAAGTATTTGAAAAAGCTACCCAGGGAAGTGATGGTGTCACCATCTCTGGAAGTATTCAAAAACCAAGTAGATGTGGCACTTTGCAGTGTGGTTTACCAAGCATGGTTGTATCAGTCAAAGGTTGGCCTTACTGATCTTGGACATCCTTTCCAACTTTAAGGATTCTATTATTCTGTTATATTCTGTTCTATGATTCCTGTGTTTAAAGGGATTTGTAGCTGTTAGGAAGACTTTTACGTCCCTGACCTAGGTGGTGTGAAAGATTTTCATGCTTACACACATGAACCCAAAAGCTGCAATAGGATACTTGTATAATAGATTTCATAGCCATGACCAGACGTGCAGCACTGCTTTTCTGCCAGCTGAGTCCAGGGCTGTCCAAGCCAGCATCGAGCACAGCAGGCTTGGCTTGGCTTTCCTTGCAAAGACCTTTTGGTTGGAGCTAAAACTCTCAGGGAAAGGTTTTCATACCAGCACGGGCAGGACACATTTTGGAACCCTCTGCAGCACAGTAAGTTCATGTACAAGTGCAGCCTCATGAGGCCCGAATGCTGCCAAACAAAAGCTGACTCAGAGTCCAGCTAAAAGAATGTACAATGAAACAGTTCCCACCTTGATGTGCTGGGTTATATCCACCTCACAGGGCCTCATGTTGCACAGGCGGCTTTCCTTCAGGAGCCGGCACTGGTCGTTGTCGTTGGAAATCCTGGTGGAGATGCCCAGCCCGCAGGTCTTTGAGCAGGGACTCCAGGGCAAGGTGTGCACAATGCAGTTCTTCTGCCAGGCTTCATCCTCTCCCTCGTACGCTGCGGACACAGATTAACCCCACATTATTCAGCCTGGGCAGCTTTACATATTAAACACCCTCTCCCCAGCTCATTGCACATTCAGGCCACTGACCCAAATAATTAAACCACAGCGAAGTGGCTCAGCATTCCTGTGAACTCCCTCATCCTACCCCCTTTGTGCTGACCTACTTGTGTCAGACTCTCCATCACTGTGAGTGCTCGGGGCCAGGGCTCATTCCTTTATTCCCCTTCACAGCCTCGTACAAGGGGGTCCTTGTCTGGGACCCCCAGGTGCTGCCACAGTATAAACAATTACAGAAGCCTGAGCCAGTGGGAGGAGAAAGGGGATGAGATCTGATCTCACCATGGAGGTTTATTTCTGAGCCCATTCAATTGGTTCCCTGTAGCAGAAAGTGGTCAACAGCCTCTGCTGGATGGCAGAGGCCTTGGGAAGCAGCCACAGCCTTTCACTGGGAGGAAGAACAGCTTCAATAGCTCTAAGAGAGCTCAGCAGCCATTTGAAGAAAGGGTGGGCTCTGTTCTGAAAGCAGCCAACAACCCCAGTTATGGTTCTGTCCCAGCCTCAGCCAAAGACCCCACTGCTTTACAGCTCACAGGACAGTCCACAGGCAAAACTCTGATAGAAACTGCTGCATTGAGCTTGCTCACTGTTATTATTATATTAACTATTCTATTTATTGTAATAAATGCTAGTCTGACTTCTATAAGACTTCTTCTTACAGGAGAAAAGTCAGGAAAGCAAAGCTGTGTTGTTTCCATTTTGGGACACAGGCCATGTGGACATAAGGCCAGTTTGGTAATAGATGTTTTGAATTTGAACCCACCCTGTATTTCAGAGCTATCAGGGACAGAGAAGTGGGGTTAAATGCTGGTGGTTTTAACTCACAAATGAAGACAAAGGCTTTGTTTTGTGCAACAAAATTACAGACCGAGGTTTAGGAAAAAACTCATATCACCAAGGAGCCAAAATATTTGTTTACAACAATCCTATCTCTCCTTGAGCTCTGCTTTTGTGAGATGGTCTCACATTAGCCACATGGAGCTAATGTGGTTAACGTCACTACAGTGTGTCACATGGCATTTTGACAATAAATTTAAGACATATGGCAAGTTGAGTCCATCTTAATCATTTGGGATCATGTTTGAGGCAAATGATACCATCTCTGTGCAGTGGGCTATGGGATTGTTACTATAAATGTGAGTGTGAGGACAGAACATTTAATGATGCCATCAGTTCAGAACTGATGAAAAGCTGTACTACCACAAAGACAACTTAGCCCAACTCACAGTGGAATTTCTACACAATAACTGCCTTCAAGGTGTTGTGTAAGTTTGAAACTCCTAAGATACAGGGGCTTTAAAATTGTACTACAATAGCAATATAAAATGGACAGAAAGCCTCGGTCCCAAATTAAACTGAATCCATTCTCTTTCCCAGAGGGTCCAGACTGAGGGAAAAAAATAAAAATGAAGAATTAGAAAGGACTTTGGACATCTTCAAAGTTCCAGCAGATGTGTCCTTGAAAGGGAGCTTTGTCACACAGAATTCCAGGATGGTTGCACAAGCATGTTTGATGAATATCATATTCATAGAATCATGGAATGGCTTGGGTTGGAAAGGATCTGTAAAGATCATCTCAGTCAAACTCCCCTGCCATGGGCAGGGATAGCACCACTAGATCAGGTTGTTCAGGGCCCCTCCAGACTGGCCTTGAACACGTCCAGGGATGGGGCATCCAGATCCATACTGCTGCCAATGAGTTCCACTGGTGTTTGCCTGTCCTGTCCTTCAGCATGAGCTGTGTGGGAGCCTCTGCCTCTCTCACAAAGGTCAGACACCTTCCAGGCCTGGCAGTACAAGTTGCTACTTTGCCAGACTCTGTAGACTCTGCCAGATGGCAAAGGAGAGATCTGCCTCATTCCCGCCATACCTGCGGAGGAGATGTGACGCGGAGAGGTCTTCCTGATTTTCCTGGAGTCATCACAAACCCACTGCTCGCAGCACTTCCCTGCCATCTTAATCAGCTTTGGGTTTGGGCACCAGACAAGTGGAGGACGTGAGTTTATGCACATGGGAACACAGCCCACAGCCCCATTAATGCACGTGCAGTTGTATTTGCAGTTGGGCTGAAATGTCTCCCCGTTCTTATACCTGACTCCATTGAGGACACATCCTACACCAACAATCTCTGAAAAGAAAGAGAAAGAGAGAAAAACACACAGAGCACCATTAAAATAATGCTGGCAACAAACAGCTCTGACGTGTTCCTTCACCAAGCTGATCTCTGGGCTGGCAGTGCTCTGGAGCGGCGTGTTCAGCCTGATGCTGAGCCAAGTGTAGTCACACCATCTAGGAAACTGTTTCCATTCTAAATCACAGCAAAAAAAGAGAACCTTTTAATGCTTCAATGAAAAAAATAAGTTAAAATATAAAACAAGTTTTGTTCACAAATCCTTAATTAAAATGAAAACATTTCATAGCATGGTGGTAGGAATGACTCACAGGGGGAGAAATCAAAGCAAGTAAAAAAGATATTTAGTGAAATTTTAGGTTTTCAGAGATATATGAGGGGACTTCATGGAGTTGCACATATGACACAGCTGTTCTCAACACTTGTGTATGTCTGAAGCAAAAGGGGAGGACAAACAAGGTAGAAAAAGGAGCACCTAAATTGCGCTGGATTCCTCTGTTTAGGAAACTGGATCTTACCCAGTTTATCACAGAGCAGTTTTCTTGGAAAATGAAATACATGTTATAAAGCCACAAAAATAAATATTTGATGAATAATTTTTATATAAAATCACTTTAAAAAGTCAAGCCTTTTGATTGTCCATGAACAGGAATCATGGAGCAGCATTTTTTGTTTGTTTGTTTCACATTATAGACAGTTATTTGGAAGCAGTGGCTTCCGATGGAAAATTCAAACTTTAGTTTCTTGTTTGGTCACATGGAGGCACTGCACACGCACTGGTTGGGTTGCTGATGTTTTGAGTCTGGTCAGAAATGGAGCTGCTTCAGGAAAACACAAATTGAAATGCTAGATTAAAATTCTGCAATGGCTTCCTATTTTTGAACCAGCTGAATGAAAACATCAAACACAAATCCCATCTTCTGCACAAAAATGAGAGCTGTTGGAATTTCAAGCACAGATCTAGATCTCCAGTCCATGCTCAGCTCCAATTTTTTGTAATGCTTAAGCCTTTGTACTGAAAAGGCAATCACTCAGTACTGGAGCTGGGCCTGAGAATTCAGAGAGACTTCTAGGTATGCACACAGATTATGACAATTAAAAAAAATGCTGTATCTCCTGGTGTTTTCCTACAAGCATATTCCTCCTGGATTAGGCTACCTTAGTCTCCTGCAGGTCTCATAAACCAAGAGGTTCTCCATGGGAACATCCCCAGACACAGACAAAGGAGCTGTTGAACACCTTTATAAAGAACCTCCCTGAGTCTGCATTAAAATAAAGTGATTTGGAGGCACATCCCTATTCCCAGCCCCACATGCACAACACCTGCTTCACCCCCTGGGCCTGTGCTCAGCACCCTGCTGCCTCTGCTTTGCTGCAGAGAAAAGCCAACAACAAAAGGAGAGCGGCAGTGACTCCCAGCAGGTTCCCATTTGATGTCTGTGGAGTTAGATCCTGGGGCACACCTCAGCATGGCAGTCCAGATACAGCCTGAATTTCCCCCAGTTTGACCCCACTTCCTTTCCCAACACATACTCCTAACTCTTTCAGGGTCTTCAGTTGCCATGATGATATTGTTTCTGTAGGCCTTTGCACTGTGGATTCTCTAGATCTAGCTGAAAACATCCATATGCAAAGCCAATTCCTCACAGCAGTCACTCCCCAGCGCCCAGCACAGGACTCACAAAGCTGGTGGGCTCAGAGTGGGGTGATGCAGCCTTTATGTGGCCCAGAGTACAAAAAGAACACATCAGCAGACCCTGTCCTGTACCTCTGCCTGGGTGCTGAAAACAAAGGAAAAGCCACAGGTTTCTCTGTCAGTCAGAGACAATCTGCCTTCTTCTTGCTCCCTTCAGCTGTGCACGCCATAATGTCCCTCACCAAATAACCATAAATGTCACATAACAGGGGGTGCATTGTCATGGTAGTAGGGAATTGAAAGCACAGACTGGGAATCCCTCCAGACCTCCCTGGAAAAGCTGGGGGTCAGTCTTCCCTCAGCACAGTGCTGCTGTGATGTGTGGGAGGACTGCAAAAACCAAAAGAAATCCAACTAAGAAAACAATCATTTAAATAAATAAACAAATGCAAAGCAACATAAGGGCCATTAAAGAGGCCTAGGAAGGCTGATAGCTTTGAGGCAACATCCAGCCTGTTTTCCTCTCCCAGCACAGGGCCAGCTGTAGCGCTGTCATTCTTGACAATGTTTGCCTAACCTGCCCTTGCAGACCTCTCATGAATGTTCCACACACACTCCAGACAATACATTCCAATGATCTCATATCCTCTTTTCTTAACCGTAATCTTTTCTAATCTTGAAAATCACTGTTTAAGTTTACAGCTCCTAGCACGTAACTTCTCTTGTTGTTATTTTGCCTGTATCCTACAAGAATCTGGTTAGACTGCACTTTTTGCATGCTTGGTTTCTTTTTTCTTTTTTTTTTTTTTTCTGTGTCTGAGCCAGTGCAAAGGCAAGGTCGTTTCTTACTAGACTTCCCACCCTTCTGCTGAGTAAGAGCAGTGCCTAGTACCACTTCTGTGAGAATCTGCCATCTTTCCCTGAACTTCTTAACTCCTCAGACCTGTCCCTTGGGTAACCTCTGCTTATATTCTATATTAAGTTTATTGAAGGTTGTGCACTTTTTTTCTCTTCTGTGGATCAGTTGTGCTATGAGTCCATCTCACAGTCAGCTCTCCTCCAGATTTCCTTTTACCTTTACATTTTCTCTCAGATCATTTGTTTTTATGTTCCAGCCCAGAAGCCCTGCATTTAAATGGCTTTTTCTCGTTTATGAACCTACAGCCATGACCATATGTTCTAATAACATACTAAAAAGCAGCCTTTCAGATCAGCAATCTGTATGGTTGTACTCATGATCTTTTTTGCTTTTAATCATTCCCAGAGTAACGATTTTCAATAATTTCTGACTTTTATGAGAGCATCCCCCTCATGTTCTGGAACTCAGAACAAGCTAATGCACTCTTAATACATAGAACACTAGCTAACTTCTTTTTGCATTTCTTCTTGAAACACGTTCCAGTGTCACGGAACCAAGAAATTCTTCTGCCTCATGACAGTAATGTGACTTTAACCATTGTAAAATTAAGGTTTAAACCTCAGTTTGTAACTGACAAATTCTCATAGGAGATGATTAATTCCTGACAATCTTGACAGGGATCAGACATCCTACAGACCATGTGCTGCCCTTCCAAGTTATTTGCTATAGGGAATTAGCCAAAAGGGTCCCCTTAATGTTATTGTTTTCATGTAGGGGACCATAAAGGTTGTCTTTAAATCAGGCTGCCTGACCATGTTTCCTTCATCCCCAACCCACTACAGCACCTCTTCCTGTTATAAGTAGTACAGAATAATCTATTTATTCATATGGAGACGAAATTAAGTTCTGGTTGGTCTTTGCTCTTGGCTGCAGCCAAATCAAAGGGCAAGAATTCAGATGTCATTTCTCATCCAGCCAACGGCCCTGAGAACAAAGACAGCTACGAGGGAATGGAAGATGATGCACAGAGCAGTTGATGAGCATGCAGCCAGGTATCTAAAATGAGATAAATCTCAACCCCTGCTCAGACTGATGGGAGCTGCCAGCTTATATCTTAGTCAAAAATATATGTACATCACTTACGTGCACATACTCCTATTTCGTACCTAGGTCTGTCTCCGCTGTAGTCACAGTACAGGCCCCTGTGGAAGTCACAGGTGTCAGCCTCCGTGCAGCTCTCTCCCCGCTGCCTGGCACACGTCTTGCAGCAGTCACAGCCATCTGTCACCAGGCTGACGCCGGCCGCGCACCGCGGTGGGGACTTGGGGCACTGGCAGGGCCACTTGCAGTACTGAGTGCGTGTGTAGGTCTCTGTCGTGGCTGGGACAGTGCTGGTCATGGTGAGGGAGCTCTGGGCAGTGGCCTGCAAACAAAGAAACACAGCTTGGGGAGCGTTACAGAGAAATGGGGGCTGCAAACCCTGTGCTGCTTAGTCCTCAGTTAAAATCCCCCCAGGTCTAATGAGTAAAAAAAAAATCTTCAACTAACCGGCCTGCAAGTCAGTTCAAAATTTGATAATCAGATAAAGAACCTGATCAAGGTTAGTCAAGGTAGAAAAGAGATTACATGTAACAGAGTGATGTGATTCCAGGTCACTGTTACTGAGATATTGGAGTACCAGGATGCCACAGTTCATATCAAAACCCACAGAAGGTAGAGGCTCAGTGCTTTCTCAAAACCCTAGACAACAAACTCTGGGTGACATTTAACAGCATCAGCCATGCTTGTGGTGAAGGAAGGGTGAAAATCAGGCAGGTGACAAAGCAAAGGTTTCATTTTTCTAAGAGGATCACTGCACAGAAAACCTGTGCTATATATGGGGGTCAAGCAGGGCACAGTATCTCGGGCACAGAAACAAATGGAGTTATTCACATGGTGTCAACAGCAGAAGGAACATGGCACTACTTGGGCACACTTGGTCTAGAAGCCCAAGTTCTGCAAAAAAGAAGTGTGTAACCCTAAAAACTTCAAACAGGGAAAATCAGACTCTAGAAACTGCTAAGGCAATTCCATCCATTGCTGCCTTCCCTGTACTGTATTTTATATTCCCAGTGTTTTGTCCTCTTTGCAGTTTGAGATGTCTCAAACAAAAGGTTTTCCAAAAACCCTCCATGAAGTAAATGCCAAGAGTTTGTGGGAAAAGAATTAGGACCCCACAGCTGGTGAGCTATCTATCAGGATATCTCTGCAAAGACCCTTTCTGTCTTTTACAGTTTCTTTGTTAGCAGGCTCAGTTTTTATTATTAATTTTTATATTTTATTTTATTCATATTTTATTTTATTCATTTCTAAGCCTGCTACTGACGTATCTGAAGGGTTATTTAAATATCTTGGTAACTGGTTATCCTATATTTAGAATACTAAATTGTGAACACATTGCTAATCACTGCCAAATAGACAATGTGTTTGCTCTGGGCATAATTCCCAATTCCATTAAGGCCCCCTTTACAAACAGTTGGCATTAAAGTTGGCTTTAAAACACCTTTAAACTCCTGTTTAAACTACAACATACCAATATAATTTACTCCCACTTTAAGGCTTCTTGATGCTGTCAGAGTTGTTAAAAGAGGAACATTCAGATTGATGAAAAGCCCTGGCCTTTTAATCTTAGGATTTTTCATTCCACTCACAATCATTTGAGTAGGTGCAATAATCTGCCACTTGAGAAGAGAGGCCTCCTCGAGTGCAATAAACCTATTTACTTTGCTGCTGATCATTTTTAAAAGTGCTTAATAATTAGATCCAGATACACAGACAAAAGTCACACAGCTATTTAAAGAGCTCATTGCCACAGCCCAGCCCTGTAAATAAATCCCTCTACTGTCCCTTGTTCCTATTGTCAGCATGAGCAAGCAAACAGCTTCTCCCTGTGCAGCTATGAAAGCGTCTGTGAGCCAGCACACGTAGCAGAGAGGAGCCCTCATACTCCTGTGGGCTTAGTTAATATGTGAAGGGCTGAGGCTAAATTCCTGTAAAGCACAGAATAGCTGGGAGACATTTGGTGGCCTGTGATAGACAGGAGATTTGAGTTATTTAACAGTCCTTCCTCAAGGCCTGACACCTGAGCTGGCCAGGGAAGCCTTTCCAGTGTCCTTACAGTGAGGAACTTTTGTGGCTCTTGGATGTGCTGGCTGAATTTTCCAGTGGTGTGGCTGAGTCCATTGGATGAACACAGTGTGGGCTACATCAGCATTTTTGGATAATCAGTGTGGACAGGCATCGAAGCACAATCACTCCTTGGTTTTACAAACAGGGAAGGCATAGAGTGATGGAGTTGGCATCATGTCCTAGGATCCATCACCAGCTAAGCAAAACCCAAACTTTGGAAACTGTTATCCTCCAGAGTCTTTAAAAGTGCACAACCTGTACAGCCTTGCAGGCTCTCCTCCTCTCCCCTCCTAAGTCCCTCAGACCTTCACTATTGGAAAAAAAATTCTGTAGATTAATAAAATAATTTGATTTCCCATTTCCAAGGTCAGCTGTCATCACTGGAATCACTTACTTACTTAAGTCTCTTTGGAAAAGTCATTCAGCCCTACTACTTCAATGACCCAGAAAATTTTAGAAAATAGACACTTCCATTTTAATGAGTATGTTGGTTAAATCATCATGACTAATGCTTTCCACAAGTGCTATGAACAGGAAATCACACTATAAGAGCATTCCTTAATGACCATCCTTCACTAGAAAAAAACACCAAACAAACAAAAAAATTTGCCCATGTAGTTTAAGGAAACATGTATTTAGGGTCAATATAATGCATAGCAGGACAATGATTTTGTAAGAAATCTGAAATAAGAGCAAAGAGAAAATGAACACCAAAAGTCACAGTAGTGGGGATTTTACAAGCTTACTTAAAAATGCCAGAAAGTTAAAAGAATATGTCTGTTAGGAAATTAATTTTCCCAAGTACTGGTAATTAACCTGTTTCATTTAATTGTTCTGGGATCTCAGAGTCTGCAGATTTGCTACCTTGGATGCCAAGGAGAAAATATTAGATCAAAATTATTCATGAGTTCTAATTTTTCTGCTGTTGGAGAGACAAGCCTATTCTCATTAAAACAAGATGAAGGCTTTCTCACCCTGCTATGCCTGATAACTCTCTATTAAAGTCACTCCTGATTTATGCTTGGCAAGCTCCAAAATTACTTTATTTTTGCATTTGCAGAGCAGATTGCTAGCAACAATTTCCAGCTAATTTCTGTCTTCACATTCAAGAGAAGAGAAGGAGAAAATAAAAAAAAATTGCCCACTGTCTGCCATAACCACAAGCTCAGTATTTTTAATAGCCAGGAGTTTTACTACAAAGTTTCAGGATACAAAATGGATAGCAGCCTTTTAGCAGCACATTCTTCCTACTGGAAACATATATTTTCCATCTGTTGAAAAATACTGCAATTGTAAATATGTTTTAGTTTTGAAAACTAGAAGAACCAAGCTCTGGTGTTGAAATCAGTGTATACAGCCCAAACTACAAGCTAGGCAGATTTACTGCAACACTTTTACATAATACATGAGAAGCCTCTACCTTTGCATTAGAGCAGCAGAGCATCACAATATACACCTTTACTTCCGGCTTTTACAGATGCTTAAAAATATATTTATGTGCATTGATTTTATTGTTTCAGTGCTGCAAGATCTTACTCTTAAACCCTTTTTATTTCAAGTATTTTTCTCTTCAGCTGGGTGAAGGTTGGGAGAAGCTACCCCTGTTCTTCCTTTCCAGTTTATTGATGGGAAATGTTCAGACAGGATGACTTCTAAATTGGATTCCTCTGGCTGCCAAGAGAGCTGGAGAAGTGGTTCCATAGTAGCAGAAACCTTAGTACTTTATCAGCTTCCACTGTTTTCTCCTTGGTGGTAATTTAGTCTCAAAGGAAAACATTTTTATTTCAGTCAGAGCTGCCCAAGCTGTGTCTTGCAGGATACATGTTGTTGGGTGGACTACATTTAATTTCTCACAGTAGAATACATTAAAGAAATATTTTTAACCTACATTTCTAATACTGCCTTTCTGAGCAAATGCCAGATGTTGTTGATGGAGGGATAGGATGTGATCTGGATTATCCTGTTCTCTGTCTCTGACATATTCACAAGTGAAAATTATTAGTGAGGAAATTTTATTAAAACATTTTCTGTACTACAAGGTCTGACAACGTCATCCTGTCTCTGTTTAGATGTAACTCCAGATTTGGAGTTTGACTGTTCTAAACAAGAGCACTGAAGTTAAAACCACAATTTTATTCAGACACTTTGGGATGCATCTCCTCGAAAAGGGCTGAGCATTTGTACATAACAGACATCTGCTTTCCCCTGGTTCCACCTGCTGGCTGAACTACTGAGACAGCACAAGCAGAAATGCCTGTAGAGTCAATTCCAGCTCCAGTAACCAACCTAAGTATTCCCATTATCCAAAATTATTTTAAAGGCATCCCAGGAGACTCATGCCCATTCCCAGAGTTTCTAACACTGACCTGATGTAGCACATTCCCAGGGGAACACAGCATCTGCAGCTCAATAAATAAGTAAAAAAATGAAAAGACAAAATGGAATATATAGAATCTATTAAATAAAGCCACATACCCTTCCATCCCTCAGCTGTATTTCTGGACAAGCATAGAGATTGACAGAACTGACAGAAGTTAAAAACTCATACTGCTTGTCAGAGAGATGGCAATGTAAAACAGGACCTGGCTTACATCAGTGGGCTTAAGTCAGGCCCTTAGGGTAGAAGTTTGGTCTTGATTTTGTTCAGCTAAAACTTCTGTGCTGAATATTTCTGAATATTTGCATTATTATTAGACCCAAAACAGATGGGGTAACAGAGAGCCAGTTCTTACAGGGAGATCAGCAGTAATCACAGTACCATCAGGACTTCCTCACTGCTAAACTCTTGCAACAAATCCCTAAGTCCCCATGAATGCTCATAAACTGTCACAAGCTAATGCTAGGGACAAGTAGCATCAGGACAGAGATATAAATCAGATTCTGCAGGACATGTAATTTAATGGTCAGAGGAAAATATGATTATGCAGGGGTCAGCTTCCCCATGCATAAGGTTCTAGATATCTTATTAAAATTGATCCCAGACATGAAATCTCCTGGAGAAATTGTGAAATAACAGACTCTGAATCCAGAAAAGATAGTTTTAAAGATATCAGGTGCCAGCTGGACTTATTCTTGCTGTGCACAGTAGGTTGAGCAGAAAGGAACATTCTGCATGAAGCAAAACATTCAATAGCTTAAGAAAATAAAATATCCCCAGTGAGCAACCATTATATGTCTGTGGATCCATGAATGATGAGCAATAAGCTTCCCATAACTTTATTTTGGGAAATGTATCTGTGGGAAGAATGTGGACAG